ATAAAACCAGTATATAAACTCAAATCCAACCATGTCAAGTCAAAGGGTCCATCTGACATTGCGGCTTCTCTGCCACCTCTGTGACAGGTCAGCCAATCAAAAGGAAGCCAATTAACTTGAATGGCTATATACCTGCAATAGAAAAAGAATTCAGAATCAGATATATGGAAAGTCCTCTTAGAAGAGTAAAAACACAGAGATTCTTGCAATCATGTGTATATGGCACAAACCCAACTTCTTTAACACGCTCATTTTATCAAAAAGGCACATATAGCTATGTTCAGACAACTGTTGGGCTTTCAGTCTTAGCCAAAAAGTGCAAGTGTAGGACATAACATGCAAAATGGACAGAAAAGTATAACAATACTATATCCTATTTCCAATACCAGTTGGGTCTACTTTGAAGATACCTGGAACTAAGGACCATGTCAGACGGTAGTTCTGTTGCCTATTCCTTCAGTAGCAATAACATTTAAACAGCATTTCAAATAGTGACTTCTACAAATTGTAATAGAAGTGTAATACCTGATGCTGGTTACAGAATCGCCCACCTGACACAGCCCTAAAAAGACAAAAAGTTGTTCTACCAAAAACAAGGCATTTGGAGTACACCCTAGAGCAGCCTTTCCAACCAGGATTTGGTTCCTCCGGAGGATGCTAGGGTTTTCTACCTACGCTGATCAACTTAAAAGTAGAACCTGAGGCCAGAATTAAGGGTGGGCAAACAAACAGAAATTTTAATGCACAAGAGACATGCTTTGTCTCTTCTGCATTAAAGTTATTTACCTGCCTGTCTGCCCTTTACAGTAAGCTGCGCACACACAGCTCCCTGTACAAATGCCAAATCTGACTGAATGTCATCCACACCCAGCCAATTACAGTGGCCGGCGATCAACACTCGGAAGCCGGCAGCCCGAAGAGATTAGCGGCTGGGCGAAGAACTTGGGGACGCCGCATCACTGGAGCCAAGGTAAATATAGTTTCACTTTAGGGGTCGATAAAAATGTTACTCTGTTTCTTTTCAGGGTGTTATTTTTATTTGTTTAAATTCATAGAATTACTTAAAGTGGAACTAAACCTATCAATTTAAAAGTTTCAAAAAATAGTTACATTTCCAGCACGTGCCGAGAATGTAACTGTTACATTTGTTTGTGCTCCCAACCAAACTGTCAAACAATCAAATGGGTGGTGTCCTAACTGATCACATGTGCAGCACCATGGCAGTTGAAGATCAAACAGAGGCTAAGATGGCAGCTTCCTTGGCTGAAAAGGACAGGAGGGTTTAGTTCTGCTTTAAGATAAATTTGTTATATAGAGTCGTGTTGAGGTTTAAGTACACCCCGTTTTTTTCTTTCATTTAAAACTCTTTACAGACTACTGATCAAGCTAATGTATAATAAACTGACAGTATAATAATTTTTAGTGGGTTCCCTGAGTCCTGAAAACTATTTTAGGGGTTCCTCTGTGGTAAAAAGGTTGAGAAAGGCTGCTCTAGAGAATATAAAGAGAACATACCATTAGGACTATAACTGGACTTAAAAAGTGCCTGAAGCTGTGCAGTTTAGTAGTAATCAGCTGAGTTCCTGGGTCTACACACAGCAGAATATGTTCAGCCCCAGCTAGATTTCATGTACTTAATGTAACTGCTACAAATAAACTCGGTACATTAGATTCAATCCTTTAACTAGTGACAAAACGCAGTTTTTTATTCTCTGCGGCTTATGGAGGCTATAAATACAAATGTTTATTATATGAATTGAGACCGTAAAAACACAACATTGCAATATAACAAACATTCTGACTTCTCCTCTATGGCTTATATAAGAAACATCTAAATGTGCCGTTTGTGGAACTCCAGAGCGAGGTGGAAACAGCCTTAACAAGTAAAAGGTTTAAATATTGCTATTTTTTTTCTCTATATCATTTCAAGTAACAAATATACAATTTACATTTATAAAGACAATTTAGGAGTGCACTCTATTTTAAAACAGGTTAAACATTTCACCATTTCATGGTGTTTTCTGTACAAGCAGGAATAGAAGATTCCTGTCCACACAATTCAGAACGTGATTAACTTTACAATAATTTTCCACCGGTTACTGTGAAGACATGTTTTAAAAACGTGTTTGATGTCATTGCCAGCTACAGAAAAGTATGATACATCCCTTTTTGCAATGAGGTCATAGAAAATGGCTTTGATATTTAGCTGCTAATTAGACGTGAGATATGATAAACTGATGTATGAGGGTACTGCTGAAAAATGAAGTTCCTATTGCAGTTCTATATTAACATTTATCTATAGATATGCTTGCCCTAAATTTTCTTTCCAAAAATAAGAGTGGGAGTAATACACATGGATTGTAAATTTCTTACGGATGACCAGGATAAACGTATGTTCTATCTTATTCAGTCTTGATTATGCTAGTACTTGAGATTTGGTAAGAAACAAGTGACTCATAGCTGTCCACACGGTGGAAGTATTGCCCACTGTAACATTAGGATTCTGCATGTGAGGAATGTTCTGTCTGCTTTGGCAGAAGGAGCTGCATTCACGTGCCTTGGTTTCCTCTCCACTTTCATTTGGCAAAACAACTAAAGCTGCATTTGGATTACTTTACTATAAACATATTTTCGCATAGCTTGCAAACAAACAGAGTACACGACATAGTTATACACTATGGCATAATAACATGGTGCAAAGCGTGCAGCCGCTAAAAGCAAACAATCAGATTTCAGCTTTTTTTTTCAGACCAACAAAGAATAATTACTGATTGCTTGCCATCTCTTTCTGCAGTCTACCCACTGTTCTGTACCTTACAAAATAAAGGCATGTTTATTACATTATACATTACTGTGTTTAATAAAGGTAAGCTTTAAATAATGACTTGGGATAATGGACAAATCCAGGATAGGTACCTCTGTTTCTTGGTTTGCTTAACATATTATCACCTGGATCTCTTAGATTGTAAGCTCCAAGGAGCAGGGCCCCTCCTAACCCACTTGTATTGAACTGTATTGTCTCCCGTTATATTGTAAAGCGCTAAGCAAACTGTCGGCGCTATATAAATCCTGTATAATAATAATAATGCTCCTTTAAAAGGGTAATTTGACTCCAAAGTGTTAGCTTCATATTAGGTGGATCCTGGTGAGCCAAGTCCCCTGTTGACTTTTAGCTGTCTCTTGGAGTCTGCTGTGGTGAAATGCGGCTATTATAGTTCCACAGGACCTACTCCCACCCAACTTTGAGATTTGGGTATTCCTGACCCACTTTAATTGTTGTCACACCTCCTTTTGCTTACTGAATACAATAATTTCAAATACGAAGATCCCTTATGAAGGCAGCAGCAGTTGCACACACCTGGGAATGTAAGCACAGAGAGCTCACTAATAGATTCTTCAAAGGATAAAAGAAGCCATTAGGTGTTTACTCTTCCCAGAACTTATTAAACATATCAGGCATCCCATGTAAAAAGAAAGCCTTTGTGAAAATGATCTAACATTTCAAAATTTTAAATGCTGGAAAATGTTCTAAAATTCTGCAAAGGAAATGTACTTTTCATGTAAATGTGATATTCCAGTTTTAGGTGGTTGCTGCTGACTTGATCACCCATATGATAAAAGAACTATGAGTCATTCTGTAAGATCAATGGGATCTCAATCAATGATATCTCAGCTTCGTAGGGAGTCAATCTTGTCAATAATTTCTCCATTTTTAAACTTCTTTTACATTACATATAATGCAAGAAGGATAAAGACCAATTTTAGCCATTGTAGGTAGCAGAGCGGGGAACTCCAACTAGGAGATATCTTTGTTCGAGTCTCCGTGAGAGATGATAATTCAGCTAGCTAGCCTTTATCTAAAACAGAAGGTCCTGGCCTGGAGCTTCTCAAAGATGCTGCTAAATGAATTAGAGATAGCAGATAAATGTTACTGCTACTTAAATTCAGCAATTGTAGAGAAGCTTTTAGTAAGTAAACACTACCTGGTGCCTTCCTGACCTATATACAAAGCCTTTTTGTCACATACAAAGTTGTAATATGCAAAAAAGTGCACATATACTGAATGGAAAAAAAAAACTAAGCTGGTCCATATTTGAAACCATTAAAGCCTTCATATATCTCACAAGCAGATTACATCTTCTGGAATAAACAAATTGCTATAAATAAAAGAAATACTAATTTGAGAACATAGTGCCTCATATTCTGTAACTATCAATACGCTCATTTTACAAGTAGTAGAAATGCTTTGGTCCTACAATAGGCAGTCAAGTAAGAGAAAAGGGATTATAAAAGTCTGGAGAGCAGAGGGGAGCATTGGGTGGTTAGAATGGGAACAACGTAACTTCACTCTCGCTTGTCTTACTGTTAATTTATAGTACACTGAAAGATATGTTGTAAAAGCTGAACGGTGTTAGAATTATTCTTCTAGTGCCAGCTTTCCTCTACAGTTATGACTACAATTGAAAAGATAATGATAAGGAATATTTTTGGTCAAACTTTGGTGTCTACCCTATGTATGAACTGACTAGACCTTTATTTTACATAGTTAATTACAACCTATTTGTGGGTTACGAATAATATTTGAATTCTTACAAACGCAAAAAAAAAAAAAAAAGACGGTCACTTACATACATATAAAAAGTATATATACATCTGTAACTACAGCATTACTTTCTCTTGAAAGAACAGTATGATGTGTAAAGCACAACATATTGCAACATTTAATACATAGCAACAGCTAGGTAGATGGTGCTGGCACTTTCACGCTTGAGCTACTGGCAGCTTGGACAGATTGCAGTAATAATGCATCAATGTCTTCAGAGGCTAGGACCACGAGAACAACAATTCTGCCAAAGTCCAAATCATCTGACCTCTATGACAGGATGAAAAGCATGACAGTGGCTTGTAGACCTCATCAAAACCCCAATGAGGGGAATCATGGTCTTGATTCAACAGTGACAGTCTCAGATACCACATATATCCATGGGAGACATTCTTTTTTACTTGAACAGATAGTTAATGGCAATCTGCAGCAAAATCAGGAAGATGATAATACAATAGTCTCTTTGCTGAAGAAAATTGCTATCTGTGTTTGAGGCATTTGTAGACAAACGGCTACGCAGAGCAATGATGTTCCTATTAAGAAAAGAAAGAGAAATGTAACCATAACATAGAGCACTTTGTCATCCTTGGCAATGTATGCAATAGACTATACATTTCATATAGCATGTTTAATGAAGCAATAATGCCAGCATTAGCACATAAAAAAAATCCCAGATTTTGGGCTGTCCCATAACAAGAATACAGTGGAAATCTTCCGATGGGGATCTTGGTTCTAGTGACCTGGGCACAACCAGGAATTTCCTGTTTTGGCTATGGGACAGGAAGTGAAGAAAAAAACAACCACAATGGGACACAGGTGGCAAAAAAGACAGGAGTTATAACCCTCCCTTACTCTAGCCAAAATTAAAAAAAAAGTTTTGCATTTATTTCTACTTTAATCCCTTAGCGCAGGCACCTCCTGGCCCTTTAAGGGGTTTGTGATGCCAAAAGGCGGGGTTTAGGATCATATGACTGCCGTGATTGGCTGTCACATGATCAGAACGGTCCCAACCGCTGCCGGGAATGTGCAGGGCACCCGTATGATGCACACTCTCGGTGTGTCTTGTGTACATTTGGTACGCAAATATGTGGCCCCTTGGCGTCAAGGCCCAGCCACTGAGAGGCCGCATATGTGCTTAAGCTCAGCGCCAAAGAGTTAACATTTGTTTTTACAGATTACAGTTACATAAAAATCAACTTTCTCCAACTATCTCATGAATCACATGTGGCCCTTAGCCGTTTTTTTATCTGGCTCCCAAGCCACTCTCGTGCAGGCGCTTAATAGATCTCTGTATGAACCATAATGAACTAGTCAAAAGGTAATCACAGAATAGATAGGTAGGATTAGACTGAAGAAAAAGAACATTATTTTCCAAAATATCTTACAGACTTGTACATATTCATATTGTGGGTTTCAATGTCACCTTAAGAGTCCATTCACACTTATGATTTGTGGTGCCATTCATTTTTTAATACTACCCCAGGTCTCTATATCTAGGGGAGTTGCACAGCATGGCAAAGCACTGCATTGTGGTGTGTTGCGCTACAAAAAAACATTGCATGTCCGATTTGCTGTCTGTTGTGGTGCTCTGGCAACCCATTCAAATGCAACTTACCCTGATTGCGCAGACAGTACGCATACATGTGGCCTCTCGGGGTGTGGGCCTTAACACCAAGGGGTCACATATATGCTTACCAGAATGTAAACACAGCTGTGCCGAAAGCATTGGGAGCTTTCTGATCATGTGATCGCGGTGACAACCAATCACGATCATAAACCCCACCCACCTACCAGCATCAGAAAGCCCTTAAAGTGCATGGCCAACAGATCAGGAAGGTGTAAAAGGTGTGAATATTTAAAATTTATAGTTCACAAGCTGGCAAAAGCTGGGATCTCCTGCATTAAAATCAAGCACACATTTATGCTAAGTTCACACCTATGCATATGCTGTGGTTCGAGTTTGCGTGGGCATAGCAGCCCACTCATTTGAAAGGGGTGCTGTACCGAGGGAAGTGTAGGAAAAAGGTCCTTACACCTTTCTAAAACACTGCTGCGGGGAAAATGCACGGTGCTTTTGCACCAGACAATTTCCTGCACTTGAAAACACACTGCGTATTCAGATGCATGAGGGCCCCATTAAGAATGAATGGCAGTCCTGCATGTCTCCAATGAGCAGTGTGTTTTGGCTGCTCTCGTAGTTGCGGGCGTGGGAAAAGGTGCAATTTACACACTGTCCCACATCCGCAACAGTGTGAACCCAGCCTTAGATGAGCAGTGTACTACAGCTGGTGGCAAATAAAAAAAAAAAAAAAAAAAAAAAAAGGCAAATGTTCAAAACAACATTCTTAAGGCAATTTACCGGTTGATTTCCTCTTGAGTTTTCTTTACAGAGTCTATGGCACTTAAAAGTTCTCCGTGGTCTGCTCCCTTTTTCCTGCTTCGAGTGCTGTGTGTTAGTAGATGTGCTAGAAAAAATTGACAAACACACACATTACTAGACCAAATATAAACATTTTTGCAAACAAATAAAAATAATAATGATCATTTCTATATAATAGTTCAGCTATCTGCAGTATGTTTAAGGACTAGTGTACATGGACACTCATGGAACATTAGAAAGCTATGGTGCAGCTATGAAAGCGAAGATCCATGGAACCATACAGCTAGTATATAGACAGGAAGATGAAAGTCCACTCTCTACTAGACCTAAGTATGGTTCTCCACAGGTATTAAACAATGCCTAATAAACTGATGCAAAGGGCTAAAAGAAGTCAGAAGACTGTTAATGAGTAAAATGATAATAGAACACAGTTGCCTTGCTCTTTGGCATAATTCTAGTAAAAGAACTAGCAAATAAAGAACAACATTGCTGCCAGCTCTTAGGGATACTCGTGCATCTCAATAAACTAGAATATCATCAGAAAGTTCATTTTAGTTCAGTAATTCAATTCACAAAGTGAAACTCATATATTATATAGATTCATTAAACACAGAGTGATATATTTCAAGCATTTCTTTCTTAATTTTGATTATTATAGCCTACAGCGAGTGAAAACCCAAAATTCAGTATCTCAGAAAATTAGAATATTACATAAGACCAATAGTAAAAAAAGGATTTTAATACAGAAATGTTGGCTTACTGAAAAGTATGTCCATGTACAGTATAGTATGCACTCAGTACATGGTCGGGGTTCCTTTTGCATGAATTACTGCCTCAATGCGGCGTGGCAGGAAGCGATCAGCCTGTGGCACTGCTGAGGTGTTATGGAAGCCCAGGTTGCTTTGATAGCGTGCCTTCAGCTGATCTGCATTGTTTAGTCTGGTGTCTCATCTTCCTCTTGACAATACCCCACAGATGCTCTATGCGGTTTAGGTCAGGAGAGTTTGCTGGACAATCAAGCACAGAGATATCATGATCATTAAAACAGGTAATGGTACTTTCAGCAGTGTAGGTAGGTGCTGCTGGAAATTAAAATCAGCATCTCCATAAAAGCTGGTCAACAGAGGGAAGGAAGAAGTGCTCTAGAATTTCCTGGTAGAGGGCTGCGCTGACTTTGGACTTGATAAAACACAGTGGACAGACACCAGCAGATGCCATGGCACCCCAAATCATCACTGACAGTGGAAACTTCACACTGGACCTTATGCAACTTGGATTCTGTGCCTCTCCACTCTTCCTCCAGACTCTGGGTCCTTGATTTCCAAATGAAATGCAAAAACTTACTTTGGATCACTGAGCAACAGTCCAGCCCTTTTTCTCAGCCCAAGTAAGACGCTTCTGACGTTGTCTCTGGTTCAGGAGTGGCTTGACACAAGGAATGCGACAGTTGTAGCCCATGTCCTGGATATGTCTGTGTGAGGTGGCTCTTGAAACACTGACACCAGCCATAGTCCACTGCTTGTGAATCTCCCCCAAATTCTTGAATGGCCTTGCTCTCAATCCTCTCAAGGCTGCGGTTTTTTTCTGTTGCTTTTCTACCACACTTTTTCCTTCTACTCAAATTTCCAATAATATGCTTGGATACAGCAATCTGTGAACAGCCCGCTTCTTTAGCAATGACCTTTTGTGACTTACCCTCTTTGTGGAGGGTGTCAATGACTGTCTTCTGGACAACTTTCAAGTCAGCAGTCCTCCCCATGATTGTGTAACCTACTGAACCAGACTGAGAGACCAGTTAAAGGCTCAGGGAACCTTTACAGGTGTTTTGAGATAATTAGCTGATTGATTAGAGTGTGACACCATGAGTCTACAATATTGAACTTTTTCACAATAGTCTAATTTTATGAGATACTGAATTTTGGGTTTTCACTATCTGTAAGTCATAATCATCAAAATTAAAAGAAAGAAAAGTTTGAAATATATCACTAATGAATCTATATAATAAACGAGTTTCACTTTTTGAATGGAATTACTGAAATAAATTAACTTTTTGATGATATTCTAATTTATTGAGATGCACCTGTATAAGAGCTGGCAGCAATGTTGTTCTTTATTGCACCTGTACGTGTTCTTCTGTGTCCCCAAAAGACACACACTTTTGCTGTGCTGTTTACCCATGCTTAATCTATACCATCAGGTTCATCAAATTCTGGACTGCAGTTATCTCATACCTCCTGGACTGAAAAGAGGCATATGTTTTCTAGTGTTAAGTGGGAAAATGTACATACAACAAATCAGAGGTCACTGGAAGGTAGAAATAACCATAGACTAGAATAGCCTCCTAATGCCTTTGAGTCAATGTAGATACTGTAGATACTAGTTAACAATAAGCAGCATAGATTTAGTCTCAAACTTCTATATGGACTCATTATTACTCATAGATATCATCTTTACAACTATAATTGCTTTTTAGGAATCAATCAGGCTACAGTAAAGCCTAGTACACACGATGAGAGAATCGGATGAAAAATACAGTTTTCTGAATGATCGTCTGATAACCTGATTATTATTACACAACTTTCGAGAGACGATCACGACAGTTCATGCAAAGTTATCCAGAGGGACAAGCGCAAAAAATGTTCTCATAAGATAGTAAAAAGAACCACTTTCATTTAAGCAGTACAGCATTCATCTGTAAAAAATTGAGTGACCAAGACTGAGCATTCTCGAAATTGAAAGAACACATTATATTACAAAACAACACATTACATCACTTCCCAAGTTGTATTCTGTCTTATGAGAATTTTTGTAACTTTAGTAACCTATTCATTTTCGATTTGAGACTAGTATGCAAAAAAAAAAACAGGCGATCATTTGTCCGATATTCTCATTGTGTGTACAAGGCTTAAGAAGCCACCGATCAGAGGAAAGTTCTGACACATAACCTATTGTTCCCTTTTTGAGAAAAAAAAAAAAAAAAAAGATAGCATCGTGGTGCACAGAACAGACACTAGCATAGAACTGAGTTGTGAAAATATATCTTCTGCAACCAGATTGATACCTAGCATCTGATCATGCACTAATGGCTCACATAAGGACAAACTTCTATGTAGTCAAGATGCATGACAGCTCAGCAGTGCAATGTAGCCTGCATAACCCACAGAAATGACTGCCACACAAACTAAAGGGCACACAGCCATCAAGGGACAGTTGGAGTTAACATGTGTCTGATGTCTGTGTACACGAGACCATACATGTATGGACAACTATATACTATAGAGTTTTTTGTTTTTGAAAATGTAAGTTTTAAAGCATTGTGTTTATGGGAAAATAAACATGTAAATAAATTGTTTATTTTTTGTTGTGGAAATTATTTTGTGCAATAATTCTTACCTTCACTCCCTGAGGAATCCTGGTTATCCAGTTCTGGGGAGGAACAGCCACTTTCTCCTTTCTTCTGCTGCCCACTTGACTTATGTTTGAGCTTTGGAACACACACCTGCATGACAAGCAATGCTACATGTCATGTATGCAGTATAAATACATATTTGTAAGCCGTACAAATCACAGCTGATTCAGAGAAAATAAGCATTAAACTAACAATTTAGCTGCTACTGACAACTGCTTCTCAGGTTTTATGAACTATCCCCATTGTAAAGACATAGTAAGTAGAAACTTTGTGGCAATTATATGGTAGTGTTATTAGTATATAACCATTATTATGTATCCTTTACTTCCCAAAATGTATATCAATCTCATCAGTCATCCTAATTCCCCCCATTCTATCATTTATACTTTGTGTCCTTGTATGTTAGTAATACTTTACAAATAGCAAAATAAAATACAAGGGCAACAGAACTTTGGTCTGAGCTAAGTCTCATGTATAGTTTTCTTATTTTTTGCAGTAGGGCAAATTAGATCCAACATGGCCAATTAGCAATCGTATTTCAATTCCTGAAACTGTTGTGTGACTGAGTTGATCTGCTAAAAAATTTTAGCGTGCAGTGTCTACTCTGCTTTAAAGTGTTTGTAAACCCAAAATCTATTTTTCAGTATGTTTGGCAATATGCTGCTACATTATAAACTTTTTTCATAAGCAAATTGCTATTTGTGAATGTGTTGTAAAGTTTCTTACCTGGAGTGGATGCCAGTAACAATGCTTTCCGTTTAAGGCTGACAAAATCAAGCCACTGCATTGCAATTAGCAGCAGCATTGTCAGCCAGCAATTTGTGCTCCTTTATTTGGCTGTTGGGATGCCCAACAAGGCTATCAGACAGACAGCTTAATGACCAACTAAAAGAGTGCACATGACAGGCTGACAATGCTGCTATTAATTGCAAGGATGTGGGTTATCATGCTTGCAACGTTAAGAAGTGTATTTGTAATAAAAAAAAACAAACAAACATTTGCATGGCTATTTGCCCAGCAAAACTGTTGGTACATTTGTTCCCTGTCAATAGGGCAAAATCGATTGTTCTCAGGCTATTTCCTCTACAGGTTGAATGTTATTCATAAGTGGTCCAGAAAAATACTTCATTATGGCCACTAGATGGAGCTGATGGTCACAGGGAAGAAGTTGTTTACTACGACTGCCAGCTCCATATAGTAACCATAGTGCAGTAATTCCTTGATTCACTCTATTGTTATCAAGATAAAACATAAGTGCCGATTCACATATATGTGGATTGGATATGGTTTGAAACGCATACAATCCGCATAACATGTGAAATAACATTGCTTCCTATGGTACCTGTCCACATATGTCCGGTGCACTGGCAGTGTAGATACAATGCGGTTTGAAAGAGTTATGTACGGGTTCTGAGCAGTGCTTTCAGGTTTAGGTGCTGCTGATTACAGGCTATTAACTTCTATGGGAACTGTTTCTAAACCGCATGTGTGTGAACAGGATAAAATCCTGAGCTAATCCTGTCCTGAACCCAATGTAAACTTGACATGAACCACTGAACAACTACTGTGTCAATTTGCTGTGCAACCTGAACTTCAATCCACACCACGCATATGTGAATCAGCTCTAAAGAATAAGTTCACCTTTTTTACAAAAAAAATAAAAAATAAATGCAGATTTTTTTTGCAGGTAAAAAATTGTGCATTTATTATCTTTTGCTGCAGGAACCTCTAAAGTATTGCACCAGTGATTAGCAGATCGCTGGTGCCATGCAGGTCTCCTGCAGACATGTCAGTATATCTGCTTGGCAGTACAGGATGTACTGACAGGAAGAATCAATGAACTTCACCGGCGCTCCACAGTGCCGTGGTAGTTTATTGAGAGCTACAAGCCAACAGCCGCAAAGGCTATCGGGACTTATAGTTCATTCATTCACAGAACACACCGCTGAGTTTTTTAAAAAATTGTGACAGCTAGCAGGGAACGAAGATCCCCCGCTAGCTTTCACAACAGATAGCAGGGACGAGCGGGGGCCGGTCAATTCGTAACATGTTATACCCTGAATATGCGTGTTACATGTTATGAAAGGTGAAATTATCCTTTAAACCTGAAGAGAGAGCAACTTAAAAATAGCCTAATATTTTTGCCCCAGTCGTACAGGACACAGACCTGCAATTTCACAGGAAGAATGGCACTAATTTAAAAAAAAATAAAATACACCCCTAAGTGTTGTTACTGCTAGGAACTCCACATAAGAACCTTTGCAACAGATTAGCAAAAAACTACTTGCTTATAGCAATATTAAACCCAAAACCAAAAATGTTATATTTTTCAGCTTACCAATCCTCAAATGTGGTGGCTGCATTCGTTTTCTAGGCTTTTTCCCCCCCTGGTGATCTGACCAATTACACACCTCCTGTATTAGTGTGCCCCAACTCTGGAGGAAGGGGCACCTTTGGACAGCAACATTATAAGTCAGGGGGGAGGGAAGTGTTAGATCTACTACCAGATTTAAATACACTTGCAAATTGAAGCCAAACTCCAACTAACACTTTATAAGCAGTTACAGCAGTTTTTTCTTTTGGAATAAAGGTTTTACATAAATAAAACTGATCATTGTACGCACCCCCTTCCAGTGTTAAATGGTTTGTCTCATCCCTGTAACTAATACTTCTGCAAGAGAGCTTGTTCTTATGAAAAACAACAGACTTACTGGCCAGATCACCACATGAAAATAAAAGAAAGAAAGCGCAAAAAAAGAAAACAAATGCAGCCATCACATCTAAGTACTGGTAAGCTACAATCTAAAAAAGTGTTTCTTTAGGAAAACTTTACTGTGAAGCATCATATCAAACATACTGAAAATGTAGGATTACAAACACTTTAAGGACTCTATGTCTGTATAACATGCTGAAGAGGAGGAGTGGCCTCAAACTGCTCCCCATTTCAATTCTAACACATGCGTACAGCTGTTCAAGGCATGAGGACACCATATACAAAAAAAACTTAAATTGGACCAGGTCTATATTATATTACATGGTTAGTTTGGATGCAAAGAGTGCTTAGTGAAGTTCTCCTTTTAAGAGTGAAAGCAGAATTCTGGGAATGTTTTTTTTTTTGCCTGTGCAGTGGGGCTGTGCCTGCACTGCAGGGATTAAATGCTCATTTCGTTCTAGGGGAGAGGACAACATAGATATACTCAACTGACCTGCCAATCCTCCACGCACAAGACCGATCCTTTTCACTCTTGCCCCCTGCATTCCAGCAATCTTGTAAATGGACTGTTTCTGATGTCAGCACACTCAATAGACAGGAACAATCCACCTTTGGACAATGGGGGAGCGCGGTTTTCCGTAGGATTGGCTGGTCACGCGATTATGAGCTTAGTCCTCACCGCTGGAAAAAATGAGCAGCTGATCCATGCAGTGGGGGCACAGCCCCACTGCATGGTAGAAAAAGTTTTGCCTGGAGTTCTGCTTTAAGCTTTAAAGGTCCATGTATTCAATAATGCCGCATTAAAAAAAAAAAAAACGTTACCTGTAGACACAAAATAAACTGCTGTGTAGAAAAGTAAAAGAAATACCTGCCTTACAAACAACTTCTGACTACAGCAGCTAGATGAGGGTGATGTTGAGATCCTTCTGGCCAGAGCCTAGCAATGCTAAGGATCTGAAGTCTCACGAAAAGATGCTCCTGCACTGTGCTTCAGTGTATTCTCATGAGATTATGAATATTCAGCGTTCCCGTGTTGTCACCAGAAGACCAGGACATCACCCTCTCCTGTACAGAAGTTGAATGTAAAGTAAGAATAGTTGTCAGCTTCTCTGCAGGTGTTTCTTTTCAACAGGTGAAATATGGGGGGTTAGCCATTACTTTGCATTTTTTTTTTTTTTTTTTTTGCAACGTCTGCTTTTCATACCTTGTGACATCTGTCTTAACAATAAGTCGATGAGAAAAGTCTACTGGGAACACAGGATGTGCTTTAAAACACTTTTAACAATACTTTTGCTTAATTATGTCACCCCCTTTAAATATGTGTTATTAGATTTGAGTTATATTTTGACTACTTTGATATTCAGTACAAGTAGTACTAGACTACTGCACTTTAGTGTTTTTGAAAGTAAACCAACAAGAAATATGACAAGCTTCAGAAGAATGTTTTCTTATTTTACGTATAACATTAATAAGACCCTCAACCTGTATCTGATTACTATGGCTGCTTTATAATGTTGAAACAGAAACAAAGCAAAAGTATAAAAATATTTTTGTACTTTATGTAAAATTCATTGCTTGAAGTTTGAGGGACGCAGCAATTTGGGGACTGTTCGATTATGCTGCGGCCTACAGGAGGTTTGGACACTAGCAAAAACAAAAAGTGTCCAGCCCAGAAAAACACCTCCTACTTCTAAGTGTGCCACACAATTTACTCCAAGAAATGTATTTTATGATAAGTACAATAATTCCATGTTCTCTCTTGTTCATTGAAGGATGCAGGAATACAGAAACTAAGGACATCCAAAAGCAGTTTGACTGGTGAGAGTGGTAAGCAGCAGCAAAACTCTATAAGGCCCACAAAAAAATTAAATAAAAAAAGGGCAAGGTGGGGGGGGGGGGGGGGGGCCTGCAGCTTAAACAGTCACCTGGGGGACCTTACATCTGAAGCTGGCATTAGTTGAGGCCTGAACATTCACCTGTGAAAATGTGGAGAAATTGTGAACAGAAGACAGGTGGCAGCCTTGCAAACCTGGAAAACAGTTTCTAGATGCTATAAATCACAAGAAGCGCTCACAGATCTAGTGGAGTGTTGCAGGCCAAGAAACCAATCTATAAGACTATAAGCTTGGTTATTGGCCTGCTTGAGCTACATAGATATGGTAGAAAAAAAGTCAATGCAACCTTATGGGGTTTGTCCACGATTACAAAAAATGGAATTAGCCTTCCTGAAAGGTGGCTGATAGACAGACTCACACAAACTGAACAGCCTTTTGTCGGACTGGAGCAGGACAAAATTAATGGAAGAATGATGCCCTGGTTGAGGTGAAAGATCGAAATTACTTTAGGCAAGATGGTAGTCCTGGGCCTCAACATCATTTTGTCCCTATGCAAAACCAGCAAGGATTCCTTGCAGGATAAAAGCATCAAGTCAGACACTCGCCTTGCAGAGTCTACAAGAATACCATCTTGTGGATGAAAGTAGGAGAGACATTATACAAGAGAAAGCCAGAGATAGTGGACATAATACAAGATAGTCAGAGAGTGTGGCCATAGCCGTGCTCACAGTGTGGGTCCAGTCTCTGGGACACCATGTGGTATTGCTCACAGTGGTGTGGTGGGAGTCTCCAGCAGCCATGGATGGATGGTGCAGGGCAGGGGTCCATGCTGCTCATAGTGACATAGTGGTGAGACAGTGCAGGCCGGGATCTGGTCTCCATGTCAGGACACTGTCGTTCAAACATGGCGGACACCATGATGTCACTGACTCACTGCACATGTGTCCGCCCGGATTAAAATGGCTGAGCATGACCAATGCGCAGTTCCAAGGTCGTCCTGCGGCCATATTTTTTTTTTTACAGACAGACGCTGTCTGTAACAGACAATTACAGACAGTCCTTACAATGGGTTGAAATTTACAAACTGTTGGCAACCCTGTTGTCATCGCTCTGGCGTGTGTCACCCAGTTGTGGTCCGCACACCCATAGCGATGGCACTGCCACAGAGACAACCTGTGGAATCAAAGAGGAATGAGAAGGGGTAGTTACTATCCAAAGGTCTTAATCAAGGAGTGAGAGGTAAATGGTCTCTGAAAAAGAAAAAAGAAAGGGCAGAACTTGGCCCTTGATAGTGCTAAGAGCAAACAACTATCCAGTCCGAGCTGCAGGAAAGAGAGGATTCATCCCACAGAGATTTCTGGGTAGATAACTATGCTTTTCATGTTCAATTGTAGACATTGTGGGAAGGAGCTTTCCTAGATTTTAGCTTCACAGAAATAACAGATTCATAGAAACACCTGTCTCTTAAAACGTGGGCTTCAACAGCTACAGTATGTACTTAAAACCTGTGACTGAAGAAGGATGGGCCTTGAGACAGAAAACTGATACAGAATACGTCCTCAGATCGCCCACCAGGAGTCTTACTAGCTCAGTGTACCACGTCAGCCTGGGTGAGTATATAGCTATAAAAAACATCAGACTGCTGATTAACCACACTGCTGCGAAGGAGAGAGGGAAGGTATCTGAGGTGAGGAAAGGCAAAGATCAGAGTAAACAGGTCTCATGAAGAAACCAAAGCATCCACAGCTTTCACTAAAGGATCTCTTTACTTGTAGAAAGCATGACCAATTGGATCTAGAGGCCAGGTGCACATCTGGCATCTGCCACCTGTGATACAAATCTTGTAATGCCTCTTGCTGTAGGGAACACTACCTGGGTTCAGATGCTGTCAGTTGAGGAAATCTGTCTGCCAGTTCTCTACGCCTAGGTTGTACACCGCAGAAAAGTCTGGAATGTGAAGTTCTGGCTAGGACATGATGAAATCTACTTCTCTTGCCACAATGAAACCTGATGGTTTATGTACACCATTGTGTTGACCAAAACCAGACTGGAAGACCCTTCATGTCTCAAAGCTCCAGCATGTTTATCAGGAGACAAAACTTTTATGAAGACCAAGTTCCCTGCATCAACAGCCTGAGAAGCTGGCATTAGTCATGAAGATGCTTCAAAAGATGGAAAGAAAGAACTCCAATTTCAGATCCATCAAGCCAGGGACAAAATGATCCTTAATGCCAATTGAATCTGTCTGTCTTTCCAGGGACTTGATTGACTTGTCAGCTGATATCAGAATGTTACACTGTAGGGATAAGGAGGTGAGCAAATAGGACTGCCTTGGAGACTACCAACGGGCCCAAGACTCTCATGCAAACGTTGAGAGTCGGGTGACTCCTGGACTGGAAAGCATGAATCTGAGATCAAAAAGTCTGAAGTCTCTCCTATGGGAGAAAAACCCTACTCTGAGCTGTATGTTTCACAGAATACAAGGCAATCTGTGAATGGATAAGGTGGGGGGGGGGGGGGGGGGGGTAAGCGACACTATTGCTTCCCTGTATGAGCACAAAGCACTCAAAGCCACAGCAAGGCTGTGTTATTTGGCATAAATGAAATTGTACATTTTACACATATGGCCAAACACTATCTGCCTTGAGTTCTACTTTACTTGAGACTTAGGCTTAACAGAACATTGTTTCTTGCTAGGAAATTAATTACATAAAAAGCGGACCCCCGGTACAAGGCTAATAAGAATTTGGGAGGAACGAACAGCTTTTCAGGAGGATTCCAATCTCTTTAGAGAAAAAGCTGTAACTGTGGGTGCAATGGAAAGGTTGTTGTGGACCTAGGAGTTCTAAAAGACCTTAGACCAGAAACAGCACTTGTAGGAGCAACAGGCTGATCCTCTAGTTTTAGAGTGGTTTCACACTGTGCATTGATAATAGCCAAAATGGTTTCTTATTTGAGGACAATAAGCAGGAGACTGTGATTCTAGTACAGTTAATCAGATGCATACTCTGTGAGGAAAAGCACAAGAGTATGATTGTGGTCTCTAAGGTCAGAGCAGCAAATAAGTGGGCGATTTGGGCCATAAAATCCCACATGACTGTAGTGAAAACCTCAGAAGAACGGGAATAAACTCTAGGATCAGAAGGCAACATGATTCTATGTTCATCAGCATCACAATGTGCTGCATGCAGCCCTGGTGTGGTTAGTAGAGTGTGAGCTGAGGGGAGCACTCGTTACAGCAGGACTGTCCTCCCCCGTACCTAGAATCAAACATGTTGTGACTGCTGGCATTAAGGCAACTAAAGATTCAGGCAAGGCCTCAGGTATTTATGAAACCCAAAAAGCTGGTAGCAAATGAGGTTCAGATGGCCAGAGGGAGCCAAAGTTACAGTAAGTGGGCAGCAGGAATGGAATGAAGATCTGAGTTCCACATTACTATTTAGAAGCATGAACAGCATTGGCAGATGCTTCCTTGTAGTTGCATAACAGGAAAGAGTACATGTATGCCACACTTTATTCTGCAGATAATGCCCATGCTCAGTCCCACAGCCTTAACCTCTCATTGTGGAAACCAACGGAGAGCACAGTGACTGATGTAAGCCCAACCGGCCCACTCACTGAGTGAGACTTCAGAGATAGGGTAAGTACTGATGCAATACTGCTGGTTTTGGACCTGGAAAGTGCTCTTTAGCTAACATGGTTCCAGAACAGGGTTTGGAAAGCACCTCATAAAGAATTCAATGCCAGAAGGTCACTTCCTAGCCCAGACTCTCACAATGTCCAGTCCCACGGGGTCTGGATGCAGAAAATCGAGGAGAGTCACATCAAATTTCTCCAATCGAAGAGACCATTTCTAGCAGTTATGCAGAGAACAGTCTTGATACAAGAAAACATTTTAAAAGGATATAAAAAAGTGCTACTAAAAATAGTATTTTATACAGCAAGGCCAAAAAATATGTCCATCTCCCTAGGACACTAGCACAAAACTGAGATATGCTGCTAGTGGGAGGGGTTATCCTAAGCTGGCTTACAGATTTTTTCTTTTGTTTGGTAGTGCACAATCCTACTGCAAGAGGCATTATAACAAAAGGGTTAAAAATTTCCAATATGCCCCAATGGAAGAGAAAGAACTACTGTTTATATTAATATTTAAAAAGTATCTTTTGCAAGACTAATACATAGTTCAGCCAAATCAAACAAATGTAGATGCATCAAAAGTCTCAAAATTGGGACATTAGCATTTCACTTGGTCATACCATACATCAGTTTTCTGATTGTTTGCCATCATACGGATAAAATATGGTTTTTTTATGTCTATGGGTTACAAAATGTGTTCTGTTTGCTCTCTATTCAAAGTCTGGAGTGTCACTGGAAAAATAGGACAGCTGTGAATATGTCTAACTGGTGCTGGATGTCGACATAAGGAATAGAAGTGAAATACACAGAAGCAACAAGAGCAGTCATACAACTTAGAATATTAGTAGATGGCAGAAATAGTCATAACATAGCAGATTTGCTTTAAGAATAAGCAGATGTAATTGTAATGCAACAAACCATTTGTATAATTTGTAAGGACACTTGCAACAGTACAGATACACACTGTCCCCAGGACTATGTTTTGAAAGGGATTTAAGGCACTTTATAGTACACTTTAATCAATAAAGCAGACACTTACATGATGAGATTTCTGAGCTTTACAGCTAAGTGTTAGTAAGTTTAAGCTGATATCATACACATGCTTCCTTGATCTTGATAGGACACAGACGAGAGAAAAGCCATTGGGCTTTCCCCAGACCTACCTGATAATTGCATTTCTCCCGCTTTGCCCCTTGGTTACTGAGACTAATTACACTGCCCGAACGTACCATTGGAGTCCTATGCCTGACTTTTGTCTGGATAGCACCATCGTTTTCAAACTGAACCAGATCATTTAGCGGGTCCCATGGTCGAGAACTGCAACACATAAAACAAAAACAGTAAGAATGTTTAGTATTCTAACTGAACCACAAGTATTCTTCATTTTAATTAGGTTACAGAACAACCATTTGATTTGTACCAGTGGAGTATGCACTTTACATGTGAATTCATTTCAGAGTGCATGGCTAATGTTAGAAAAAAAAGGAGCTGACTGTGAAGATTTTGAAGAGGCTGCTCATTGCCAAGTGGACTGCACAACAAAGAACCTGGTGGAGCAAGGATACAGTCAGGTCCATAAATATTGGGACATCGACACAATTCTAACATTTTTGGCTCTATACACTACCATAATGGATTTGAAATGAAATGAGCAAGATGTGCTTTAACTGCAGACTGTCAGCTTTAATTTGAGGGTATTTACATCCAAATCAGGTGAACGGTGTAGGAATTACAACAGTTTGCATATGTGCCTCCCACTTGTTAAGAGACCAAAAGTAATGGGACAATTGGCTTCTCAGCTGTTCCATGGCCAGGTGTGTGTTATTCCCTCATTATCCCAATTACAATGAGCAGATAAAAGGTCCAGAGTTCATTTCAAGTGTGCTATTTGCATTTGGAATCTGTTGCTGTCAACTCTCAAGATGAGATCCAAAGAGCTGTCACTATCAGTGAAGCAAGCCATCATTAGGCTGAAAAAACAAAACAAACCCATCAGAAAGATAGCAAAAATATTAGGCGTGGCCAAAACAACTGTTTGGAACATTCTTAAAAAGAAGGAACGCACCGGTGAGCTCAGCAACACCAAAAGACCCGAAAGACCACGGAAAACAACTGTGGTGGATGACAGAAGAATTCTTTCCCTGGTGAAGAAAACACCCTTCACAACAGTTGGCCAGATCAAGAACACTCTCCAGGAGGTAGGTGTATGTGTGTCAAAGTCAACAAACAAGAGAAGACTTCACCAGAGTGAATACAGAGGGTTCACCATAAGATGTAAACCATTGGTGAACCTCAAAAACAGGAAGGCCAGATTAGAGTTTGCCAAACGACATCTAAAAAAGCCTTCACAGTTCTGGAACAACATCCTATGGACAGATGAGACCGAGATCAACTTGTACCAGAGTGATGGGAAGAGAAGAGTATGGAGAAGGAAAGGAACTGCTCATGATCCTCAGCATACCACCTCATCAGTGAAGCATGGTGGTGGTAGTGTCATGGCGTGGGCATGTATGGCTGCCAATGGAACTGGTTCTGTTGTATTTATTGATGATGTGACTGCTGACAAAAGCAGCAGGATGAATTCTGAAGTGTTTCGGGTAATATTATCTGCTCATATTCAGCCAACTGCTTCAGAACTCATTGGACGCTGCTTCACAGTGCAGATGGACAATGACCCAAAGCATACTGCAAAAGCAACCAAAGAGTTTTTTAAGGGAAAGAAGTGGAACGTTATGCAATGGCCAAGTCAATCACCTGACCTGAATCTGATTGAGCATGCATTTCACTTGCTGAAGACAAAACTGAAGGGAAAATGCCCCAAGAACAAGCAGGAACTGAAGACAGTTGCAGTAGAGGCCTCGCAGAGCATCACAAGGGATGAAACCCAGCGCCTGGTGATGTCTATGCGTTCCAGACTTCAGGCTGTAATTGATTGCAAAGGTTTTGTAACCAAGTATTAAAAAGTGAAAGTTTGATTTATGATTATTATTCTGTCCCATTACTTTTGGTCCCTTAACAAGTGGGAGGAACATATGCAAACTGTTGTAATTCCTACACCGTTCACCTGATTTGGATGTAAATACCCTCAAATTAAAGCTGACAATCTGCCGTTAAAGCACATCTTGTTCGTTTCATTTCAAATCCATTGTGGTGGTGTATAGAGCCAAAAATGTTAGAATTGTGTCGATGTCCCAATATTTATGGACCTGATTGTAAGTGTGTCTTGTCAGGGGTGCTGAGGCAGAGCATTATAGGATACTATATGTAAATCAACTTTAAGGGTTCTAGTTATAACTTATTTGTTGCACGAATGACAGAAGCATTCGTACAAGCTGAGCTACATTAGCTTCATCTAGAGGCCTAAACACGGTATAGTTTTCTGAAATAGTTATCTCAATGAGAAAACATACTGAATTTCAATCACTAGATGGAACAGATGATACATAGGTAGAAAAATAAGGTGAAACTTCATTCAGTTTCCACTAATGTTTCTGACATTTGTGTAACAAATGTTTTATTAGTACACCCCCAATATGTAACAATCAAGTTAGGCCCTCCTAAAATGATCTTGCTAAGGCTCTTTACAGAATTTCCTATTCTCCTATCATTAAATATAGTTTAACAAAATAACTTGTTAAAGTGTAAATTTTGTGAAACTCTGTAGAACCCAACAAAATGTCAAAGCTTGATGCCTCTTTTTTTGCCAAAGCCTACAAGCCTTAGTATCACAAATCATAGGTTTGTTGATGGAATCTGAATTTTTGTACTTAATGTATCATTCATTTTTTGAGTTCACAGAAATTCAGAGACTGTCAGGTTATGCTGCTGCATACAGGAAGACTGGACACTGGGAAACAAAAGCCCACAATAACCACTCCCACTACCAGCATCTCTCAGTTTTTTGCTGATCTCTTAGGTATATGGACATCTTTTCTTTAGCTCTGCTGTGTAAAAGACTAAGGTATTTTCACCAGCACCATTTTTCATATTCCTTAAAATTCATTACCACTTCTGCTCCCAGGATGCCTATGTTTTGTGGAAAAGCAGTACCAAGAACTTGATCATAATCACAATCCCTCAATGGAGAAAAAATGGTAAGTGCAAAAATCCTATTTCTTCTGAACAAAAAAACCCCCACAAACAAACAACAAAGTATGCCATCCATTTGTGATGGTCAGCAACTGGGAAGGGGGTGCAGGGTAACGGTGTGTCAGTCCACTTCTTACCAAAAAAAGGTTTAGTCTTAGAGGCTGTAAAAGGTGCCAAGACAGGGGACAAGAATTGCTTAGAACCCTCAAACATTACATATTTTATTAAAGTAAAGGCAGAAAAGGCAGAGACTACAGAAGGCAAAACTCTTCAATGTCAGGCACCCTGCAGGAGGTACACTACACGAGAACTGTTAGTGGAGCACACGATGGAGCCACCCGATACAGTGGGACTGTCCCCCATGAGTCTAGAGTCAAGCATGTTGCAAAGTAGAGTGCCAAGCCGAATGCAACAAACCCAAGGTATAAGGCTAAGCCTTAGATACCCATGAACCCAGCTGCTGGGCAGCAGAGGTAGGGTCAGGTGACAAAAGATGACTAGGTTACTGAAGGTAAGCAGCAAAGAAAATCCAAGGAGAGTTCCATGTGTCACTAGTTCCCAATGCTCAGATTACTTTAGAGGCAGTCATACCTGGGGCTGTACCATGGCTCTGGATCTGGAGAGCACTCCATGGCTAATTTATCCAGTACACTCTGGTCTGGAATGCAATCTAAAGCCCAGTGCCTGAAGGGCACATGCCAATCTATCCCTGCAATGTGCAGTCCAGTGGGGTCAGGGTACAGCACTGCAAAGTCAAACTGAGGAGAGGCCAATCCTGACAACTGCATACAGAGACCAGCTCAAGCAGTGGTGTAGCAGGAATCTTGAAGAAACAAATGTAGCTAGCAAGAGGTTCGACTTTTTCTGCAGACCAGAGAAAAGTTGGCCATCCTCCTAGGATTCTAGCAAAAAAGTGAGGCATGCTGGAAGTAGGAGGGGTTTAAACAGTGTTGGGGCACAGATTGTTTGTTATTGTCCAAATCTACATGTTGGTAGAAGTATAACCTAACAGTCTCTGAATTCCTTTGTCCCTGAAAAAAAAAAAAAAAAAAAAATCTTTCTTTCTGGTACTTTACTTTATTGTGCTCCTCCCCCCAGATACATGGATTTGAGGTACAAAAAACAAATTTTTTTTTAAGTGTGAAGGGTCTTCAGTATAACACAAGATCTTACTGTTGACAACTTTACTTGCACTTTATAGAATCTTTAATTCCTTAAACTAAAAGTATATTAAATTCTTATATTAAAGAATCATATTTCCAGTTACTAAGAGAAAGTATTCAGACTCACTCAGCAAATTTGTAATGCCATTCTCCAGAGATTGGATCTTGTTCAAAGAGATGGCAAGTCCACTCTTCACCTTTGGCTTTTCTCTCTTTGGCAGCTTTCCTCTGAGCTTCTTCTAAGACGAACTTCTCCTGAGTGGCTTCTGTTTGATCCTTGCTATTGATTGCCTTTGTAACAAGCTGCCAGAGTCTGGAATTTGAGAACTGCAACAGTTATTTGCCAGCAAGCTATTTATACATTTATAAAGCCTAAAGAATGATTAAGAATTTTTTAATAGTTGCCTACTAAGCAGTGTTTAAATTGAAATACTACAATGACAGACTTTTTGGGTAATTATTTCCACTAAGGTTATGGATAAGCCATTACGTTTCCCTTTTACAACTTTCATACCTTCTATCATATGAACTTTCCTTTACTCATTTAATTCCAAACTTCCTATCTTGCTATATTTTAGCCTCACGTACACTGGATGTTTTAAATGTTGCTCCATGGACACACTTGGCTTGGGAGCGAGCAGACACCATGTGCCCCCATAGCAAATGGCTTGCTATGGGGACACACGAAGTAGAAGAGGAGCCACGAACACCAGCGGAGGAGCCGGGAACACCAGCAGGGGAGCAAGGAACACCAGTGGAGGAACCGAGAAGAGGAGGAGTGGGGACACTGTGTGCAGTACCACTGCACAGAGCAGGTAAGTATAACATGTTTGTTATTTTAATAAAATAAAAAAAAAAGCGGAGGGGGACTTCAGTAACACTTTAGCTGCACATACAGTCTATTTGACAGGTGTCAGATTGAACAGTAACTAAAAGGAAATCTGCCCAAGAGGGACTGCCTGAATAAACTAGTGCCCTAAAGCAGAACTAAACTCGCCTGTCCTTTACAGCCAAGTGAGCTGTCATCTTAGCCTCTATTTGATCTGCAGTTGCCATGGTGCTGCACATTTGATCAGTTATGGCACCAGCCATTTGGTGGCCTGACAGTTCACTTGAGAGCACAAGTAACTGTGACAGTTATCATTCATGGCATGCCTTAAAAATAACTGTTTAATAGATGGGTTTAGTTTCGCTTTAAGTTCCAAATAATGTGCTAAAAAAATGAAGTGAATGATTCTCAGAATCCTTATAATCACAATTCAATCTTATGTAAGGGTTTTAGTGTGCTGCTATAGAAACCGCATTCACTAATATCAACTGTGTGTTGCTATAAATCATCCCATACTGTCACAAAGATATTGATCGTGATAAACAGGCCACTATGATTTACAATAATTTGAATTTTGACTTGCATTTTTATGGTAAGCATGAGGCTGTGCACTGCAACTTTCACTATATTTTACAATGAATTTATAAGGGAGCAGCCTGATGGTTGCAGGTTAGTCCTGTGGCCTTTTGGTTGCTCTAGTTTTGGTTCAGTTATTTGGCATTGAATGAAAGCATTCTACCAATGTCTGTGCATCGTTCCAAAATAGAGTGGTAGGTGTAATGTTTTCTAGGGTGTGGAAGTGTGTATGCTCAAGATTGTGAATGACAATTTATCTTGGTCATAGACTGGAATGAATAGCTCTTTGTACTCTATAAACCACTGTGTAATATACCACACAAATACAAAAAAATGAACAAATGCTGTAATCTGGTAAGAGCTGGGACACGTAGGTGTACATTGTTCATGGATAATAAAAGAAAAGTCAATAATATGCATTTTAAAGTGGAAATTTCATAAAAGAAAAAATGCAGCATTAGGAATTTGTAGAAATGTCTCTGCCCCAGTGAGTTATAGGGAAGCCCAAGCAGAGACAAATACCTTTCAGATTCAAACTCTCCTTGCTCATCGTGGTGAACTGTGCAACGTGTTAATCTGCGCTGCTTTATCTCAGATGTTGGGTTCCAGAAAGTTTCGGATAGTTCTGTCTTCTTGTCATTAATAAATACTTCACTGTCCTGAAAAGAAACACAAACATCAAATCATATTATACAGACTTTCGATTCCATCATCTTTAAGATAGAACAACCCTTGGTCACTTTATTGCTAAAATTTCCATATAAAAAAAAAAAAAAAAAAACTTCCTGTGCGGTTTTGGCAGAAGACAATTGCAAGGAACTAATGGCAGGGATACAAGAAGCAATAAAACACATAAATAAATTATATATATATATATATATATATATATATATATATATATATATAAAGTTACTGAATAAAGATACAGAAAATCTGAGAAAGAAAATGGTCACTTCTGTAAGCCCTCCTACCTACAGTTATTGACAAACCATCATAACAAAGGTAGGTGAGTAAATTGTTTTTAAGCAAATGTAATACTCTAACAAAGTTTATCCAAGAAAACCATTTTTCATAAAAGTTTAAGTTCCAAGGCAACCATATTTATAATATATATCATATTACGATGCTTGTGCACTACTAGTTGATCATAGGGGAAGGACAGCCTGCTTCCAAATTAATAACCAGGTTTTCTCTCCTGCACTTCACTATTGACCAGGCAGTCTGCCCATCACAGTTATGGCTTAATAGTGGACCAGTCTTTTTAGCAGCAATCCGGGTCAAAATTTGAATATTGAGCAACATGGAATTTAGAATGCCCTATGTAAAATATAACCAAATTTAGAGGCATCTAGATGCTCATCCTATATCATACAAAACAAGATTTTAAGGAGACTGTCCACTAAACTAACCTATTTCCCACCCTCCCTCTTTTCTCTCTCCATGCAGAAATTATCTCTCCCTACATTTACCTGACACTGTGTCTGGCATCCCTCAACCTCAGTTCTGCTGTTATTCTTGGTACCTGGGTGCAGAACTGAAATGGACTGGCTGCCTAGGGTAAAGCAGCATGATCTAACATGCAGAGAGCCCAAAATTACTACTAGCTAAACAAGTGATTTCTGCACATTATTTTGGGAGGAAAATAATGTTAGGAAATGAACTAGGATAGTAAATTATTTTAGGTCTACTTAAAAACATCTGCTTGACTGCAAGCTTGATTTAAGGTTAATGCTCTGTGACAATGCTATGGGTAACAAATAACAAGTGGAAATATAAACAGACTGGCTACCTCCTGTTTGCAGATACATGTGATGCAGCTGCAGAAATTTTGGGGGGCATTCAAGAAAGGAAAAGATATTGTTCCTCATAAGAGATTCATGAAATGTTGCCTGATTCATGGCAGCCCTTGGCTATTGCTAAGAATCACATGCATGACTGGAGTGCCTAACTACAAATTATTTTGTACCTGTAACATCAGGTCTGTGCATTAGTCTTGCCCATTGATCCTACCCAATTCTATCATGTGAGGCAAGTTGGTTAGTGCAAAATAAAATATCTTAAAGCAATGAGAAGAAACCTTTGTGTATTTGTACATTTAGAAATAATTTCTCAAATCAGGGCGACTAATCTTATTGCCACTTACCCAGTGCCCCTCCAGTGTTGCCAAGACTTCCTTTCCCAACTTTATCTTCCCTGATATCTGATTTACACTGTCGTCACTACCAAGAAAGGGCTGCAAGGCAAACATACAAGTTTGAAACACAGCAAACAATGAATAAATGAAAGCAACTGCATATTACAAAATAGAAAAAAATTAAATTGTTAAACTTGCTACTATGATTCGTTTTTCTTGGATATAGCTTGATCTTAATCAGATGGTTGGTTCATGCATTGAAAGCTTTTAACTTGCTATTCCTTAGTACATCAGACTCAAAGCTGCATCATACACATAGGGCTATTCACCTCATTTAGGTGCTGATGCCTTTATGGGAAAGTTCTAAAAGTATCACTGTAGTGTGTGCCACACAATGCATTGTCATCTTTCACTACATCTAACTTCTGTGCAACAAACTCTCTTAAAAGGTAACAGCACATAAAATGATACAGCACACTATATGCTCTGGAGCACTTCAAATGTTTAGAGTCTCCTTGATTAACATGGACCATACATTTCTCCTAAATGAACACCTAGAACACTTGAAAATAGGTGGTGTGATACTAAAGAAATCTGGTTAAAAGAATCATTCGGAAATCTTCCAAAATTATCTAAGAAGTCATGCTGCTTAAAAGCTGTTAGATTTTGTATTGGGGGGGGGGGGGGGATACAGCACCATACACATCAGTTATGTGTAATGGTGTGCATCCTATTACCTGCAGGTGGCTGTTTCTGCTAAAAATCCTCCCTGCTGTGCCTCTTCACAGCTGCCAGATTTTGTCCTGAGCAACTGTCTTCCCACACTCTGAGAGATAAAGTGATATTAAAGTGTAGTTTTTTTTTCATAAAACAGATTATAATAATATATATGTATTTGCAATGCATACATAGGTAATATATGTATTTGTGGTTTGCTTAAAAAAGTTCCTCCTCTGCAATTACTTTTGAAAGTCCCACGGTCATACTGACACAACTCCATTTGATATGTTCCCCTGTGCTCCTGGGACCTATGTTGTCCCGTATGGGAGTCTCTTCTACATGTACACTCCAATCTGTATTATAACTGTATGAGCAGTGTTTTGAGTGCTGTACACACAAGCAGCACGAGTGACAAACCGAGCACAGAGGTGAATGTGGCCTTGTGCCCTCTTCACACTGTTTGTGCTTGCAATGCTTGAAACGCTTCACATACGGATGTAGAACAAAGCAAAACCTCACACAGAGGAGACTCCATAGGTCCAAAGAGTGTGTTAGCGTGGCCTGGGCACACTTTCAAAACTAAACACAGAGGAGTATGTTTTTTTTTTTTTTTTTTGTAAATCTGCAAACACATATACGTTATAATATCTGTTTTTATGAAATAAAGAATAGCATTTAATGACATGGTAAATATAGCTGTGCTTGAGAATAAAATTGCACCGCTCCCCCGACCGCTGTGAATGGCGGAGAGGGCACACATACTATGACATAACTAATGGGTATGGTGCTGTATTCCACCCCCTCTCAAAAAAATTATATATTAAAACTTCAGCTTTAAACATAATAAAGAAATCTTGAGAAAGAAGGCTTGTACCAGTAAAACTGAAAAACTAGCCTACCTATCTGTTTTTAATACAGCATGTCTTTTTTAAAGGAGCAGGAGTTTTCAAACTGTTCACTGAATAATGTATATTTTGTTTTTCATCTATGTGACCTTTAAATATTAAGACCACAATCTTAGGTGTCCTGTTTCCACCAGCTAGTGTCCAAATGTCTTCTAGATAACCCTGCTTCAGTGCTGATCAGGTATAGCAAATAGTGATTCAGGACATTTTTCATGGAGTTTCTCCCAATCTATAGAGCAGAATCAGCTACACTGTGCAAGGTGTTAAGCCAACTGTCAAGGGACCAGAAAGCAGCAGAAAGCCCCAGCAAAGAGGCATAAGATTTGTTTATCAACATCAGCCAGACATTACATTGTACGAAAGAAGCAATAACTCTTAAAGAGACCATTGCTATTTTTAAAACACAAAATAAAGAATTCCCTGCAAAACAAATACCTGTCCTGTTGCCAGGACTGCCAAACCTTGCTGGATAAAGAGAGACATTTACTTAAAGACCTTCTCAAGTTTGGATGACGTCATACAAGCAACTCTCCACTCTCTGCAGCTCCACTGAGTAGCTCTTTCCCACCGTCGATCAAACCCCAGGTACTGAAGGCAAAGGCAAAGCCAAGCCATCCTAGCCACAGACTCAAATTAGAGGAAAAGGACCACCGCAAACTGAATAAATCAGTCTCCGCGTTTATTGTGTAAGACATCCAGAAGAACAGCAATGACAGTCCCTCATCAGTGTGTTCCTTCTCCTCCATTATTGAATTAGCAGGCAGGAAAGGATTTTACAAAGAAGTGCTTTATTCGGGTAGTATTACTATAATTTCAGGGGTAGAAGGGTGTTAAAAGAAGGACTGCATAGAACCGAAAAAAAATACCCTTATGCAGGCCATAGATGGGTCGAAAATCGGCCGATTTTTCTTTAAAAAAACGAAAAATCGGTCGTTCAACTGGCCGACGTTACCAGCAACCGTAAAAAAAATCGGCTGATTTTTATCCCATCTACAGCCGGCAAAAAGTGTCCCTGCAGAGAGCTCCGCTATTTCTTTGACAGTTCCTTGACATTTATAGCGGTTGCAACATTGTATTTGTATCCAATTAGGATACAGATGTTTTTATTCGGAAACAAATAGATACATTCTTGTAACCGCTATAAATGTCAAGGAACTGTCAAAGAAATAGCGGAGCTCTCTGCAGGGACATTTTTTGCGGGACTGGAATTCCTCTTCTTCTTCATCCTCTTCTTCATCCTCCTCTTCTTTTTTCTTCTTCTTCATCCTCCTCCTCTTCTTCATCCTCCTCCTCTTCTTCATCCTCCTCCTCTTCTTCATCCTCTTCTTCTTTTTGTCTTCCTCTTGCAGGTCACTGCTCATGCGCAAATTTTTTTTATCGGTAAAAAGATCGGCCGATTTGCCCATCATTGCCGCGAAAATCGGGCGATCGGCAAAATCGGCCGATTTTTTTTCCAACTTTACCGATGAAAAAAAATCTGCCAAAATACCGAAAAACGGCCGAACAATTAGCCCACTAACGATCCGAAAATCGGCCAATTTTATTTTCGGCCGAAAAATCGGCCGATTTTCGACCCATCTATGGCCTGCATTACAGTGTGCTTCACTCCAGGGCAATATTTTTTTTAAACTTTACACATTGAGGATCCTTAAGATATACAATATATTCATAACTTAATAAGATCCCCTTCAAATGTTTCAGTTTTGTTATGTTGCAGCTTGACACTACAGTTTAAATTCATTTTTTTCCTCATTAATCTACATTCTATACCAGGGGCGGACTGACAACTCATGGGGCCCCCGGGCAATAGGGGATCATGGGGCCCCTATGTCCTTGCCCAAACTCAAAAAAGCCTATGAAAAAGGTACCAGGGGCATCTCATTGGGCCCCCTACTGACCCCAGGCCCATTCCAAGTGGTCAGTCCGCCCCTGCTCTATACCCATTTGCTAAGCTGAAACAATTTTAGAAATGTGTGCGAGAATTTATTAAAAAGAAAAAACTTCAATATCACATGTACTTAAAAATTCAGACCCTTTACTCAGTACTTTGTTGAAGCACCTTTGGCAGCAAGTACAGCCTCGTGTCTTTTTGGTTACGAAGCTACCAGCTTTGCACACCTGGATTGGGGATATTTCTGCTATTCTTCTTTGCAAATCCTCTCACACTCAGTCAGGTTGGATTGGTGGACAGTCATTTTCAGGTTTCTCCATAGATGTTCAATAGGATTCAAGTCAAGTTTATTCGGGTAGTATAAAAACTTGGCTGGGCAACTCTAGGACATTCGCAGAGTTGTCCCTAAGCCACTCCTGTGTTGTCTTGACGGTGAGCCTAGGATCACTGCCATGTTAGAAAGTGAACATTCGGCACCGTCTGAGGTCCTGAGCACTGTTGAACAGGTTTTCATTGAAGATATATGTGTACTTTTTGCTCCATTCAGCTTTCCCTCAGCCTTGATCAGTCTCCCATTCCTTGCTGCTGACCACCATGCTTCACTGTTAGGATGGTATTGGACAGGTGATTAGCGGTGCCTGGTTTCCTCCAGACATAATGTTTAAAATTGAGGCCAAACAGTCTTCAATCTTGGTTTCATCACAGTCAGAGTTCTTCAAGTGCTTTTTTGCAAACTCCAAGCAGGCTTTCATGTGTTTTTTTCACTGAGGAGAGGTATCTGTCTGGCCACTCTGCCATAACGTCCACATTGGTGGAGGGCTGCAGTGATGGGAAAAAGTTCCAGAAGGCCAACCATCTCCAGACAGGATCTCTAGGGTGCAGTCAGAGTGACCATCGGGTTCTTTGTCACCTCTCTTGCTAAGGCCCTTCTCCCCCAATCACTCAGTGTGGACGGCGACCGACTCTTGTACGTGTCCTGGTTATGCCAACTTATTCCAATTGAGAATCTTGAGAACCTTCAGTGTAGCAGAAATTTTTTAGTAGCCTTCCCCAGTTCATGCCTTGCAATAATCCTATCTCTGAGCTCTGCAAGCAGTTCCTTTGATCACATGGCTTTTGCTCTGACACAGTATGCATTATCAGTTGTGAGGACTTTTATAGAGAAGTGTGTGCCTTTCCAAATAATGTCCAGTCAATTTAATTTACCACAGGTGGACTTCAATCAAAGTTTAGAAACATCTCCGCAATGATCAAAAGAAATGGGAGGTACCTGAGCTATATTTTAGGTGTTGTTGCAAAGGGTCTGAAAACTTATGCCAATGTGATATTTCAGTTTTTCCCTTTTCATACATTTGTAAGCATTTCCAAAACTCTGTTTTCACTTTTTCATTATGGTGTACGGAGTGTAGATTAATAAGAAGAAAAATGAATTCAGACAATTGTAGTATCAGGCAGCAACATAGCAAAATTGAAAAAAGTAAGGGGGTATGAATATTTTATGAATGTACTGTATATGGGGCATAAAAGAGAGACCATAAATACTACAATTGCTGCCCAGAGATATACATTGCACTCATTTAATTGTCTTGTTCCTATAGATATTCAGCGGCTATCAGTTTCATAGAGCAGTGTTCATTACCAGATCAACAACAATACAGGTGGATATTGTGAAAATCAATGTACCTACTCCTTCTCAGTGATTTACAATAACTAAAGTCAGAGAATCAAATGCCTGGCTGTACAATAGCATTTCAGGAAGAAATCAACAATGGCAGCATATCATTTTTTTCTCAAAACGGCTGTCCAAATGTTTGTGATAAAATAGCCTCATACACATCTTAAAACACAAATGCTCATACAAAAGCAAAGAAAAAAAAAATTGACCTTCCTCTGCATAGCATATGATACACTGCTAAGCACAGAAAGGGATGCCAATGGAAATTTTCAAACATTCCAGTAATTTTATTTGCATAAAACAATTACAAAGAATTGATCTGATTCGCTATTGTGATTTTTTTTTTTTTAGTATTTGTGCGATCTCCCTTTGAACATATCAAATACGACCCCAAAACATAAACTACCACTTATCGGTGATACATCAGGATGGCAGGTCTTTCAGAGCCCTCACAGGGCCCATGTGTTAGTAGAAAGTGGCCATCTCCTTTTATGACCCATAAGTAAAACCAAACTTTACAAATACGAACAAATGCAGCATATCAGCAAAACTGTTGTGTGTTTGGGAAAAAGGAAAAGAACATTAATCCTGTTCATCAATCAAGCAAAGTCTATATTCATCTCTCACAATGTTGTATATCTCATTAATTCTTAGCCAACTTCATGTTTGAATTGATTGTAGCCGTATTAGTGCATTTGCGACAGGTTTAGAAAACCTAAAACAATTTTACTCACTGATCAACACTTTTCATCCATCAAATCAAACTAAAAATGGAATACTCAAACACACACGTCAACTTCCTAGAAACCACAGTATACATCAGGGATGATACGCTTCACACCTCAATATACAGGAAACCCACTGACAGATGCAACTACCTCCACAGTTCTAGCTTCCACCCCCACCACACGAAACGTGCCATCATACACAGTCAGGCCATCAGATACCACCGAATATGTTCTGACCCAAGAGACAGAGATAAACATCTCGGGACACTAGCAGACTCCTTCCATAAGAAAGGTTACAAGGACAAAACTATCAACACCAGCATAAACACAGCCTTGAGAACCCGAAGAGAAAATCTACTTCAGTACAAGGAGAAAAAAAAAAAACAACCGTGTACCTCTAGTAACCACATACAACCCAGCACTAGAAGGGATAAGAAAAATAATCAAAGATTTACAACCCATCATAACAGAGGATGGAACTCTGAAAGAAATATTCCAGCAACCCCCAATACTGGCTTTCAGTCAACCCCCCAACCTCAGAAATAAACTAATCAATAGGAAACGTCCTTCTGATAATGTCACAAATAATGGAAGCAAACCCTGCAATAAGAAACGCTGCAAACTGTGCAATCAAGTCAATCCATCAAAAAGTGTCAGACACTCAAAAGGGATCTTCAATATCTCCGGATCATACAGCTGCACCTCTAGTAATGTTGTGTATCTTATCCAGTGCAGAAAATGCAGCAAAGGATCTTATGTTGGCAAAACAGGACAGAAGTTGCAAACAAGGATGAATTTGCACAGACATACCATCAAGGAACATAAAGAAGATGACTTCTGCACACCTGTAGGACACCATTTTGCACAACCAGGTCACACAATGGGAGACCTCAATGTTTTAGTACTTAAAGGAATTTCAAATCCATTCAGGAAAGAAGAACGTTTGAACTAAGAATGATAATTCTATTTGACACAAGAGATAATGGCCTGAATTTGGACATGGGATTCCTCAATCATTATCCAACATTTTTATAACTATTAGCTGTAGCTTGACTCCCTCTGTGTGACTGTAGTATCCCCCACCCCTCCCCCCTCGCTTTGACTGCATCTTATCTCTAGCCTCTTTCTTTTTTTTCTTTCATCTCTTCTAACATTCTGTTAACTTTGTGAGTAGTACTGCTTGGACCTGAAGAAGGGGACACGACCTGAAGAAGGGGACACTCCCTGAAAGCTTGTCCTCAAAATTGTATGTTAGTGCAAATAAAAAAAGTATCATGGATAGTATTCAATTGTTTCTGTAGCCAACTTCATAAAACACTCTCACCATTCACTGTTAGACATTTACATGACAGTTGCTGGTGTGCCTAATAAAGCAACCACTTTATAAAAATCTAAAAATAAAAGCATGCATACCTTTAATTTAAACTCCAGAATGGCACTATACCCAGTTTTCTCGCAGGTAATGGTGACATTTCCTCCAAGCTCTAGAGTCATTGTGCCATAAAGAATTCCTGTAGAGACACATAAATAGGTATTCTATCTGCAAGATATAAGAATGCCATAGCATATTAATAGGTAGAAGGAATCTTACCTTTACAGTGTGCATATGGCATGGTCATCGTGTAGTCCTCTCCTCTGTTAAGGAATGTTAGTCTGCCTTCTCCTTCCAGAAGAGCTGACAAAGAATTGCCTGTGGGACAAAAACGTCCAACAATTAAAGTCTATCTAAACCCAAACGCTTAAACAAAATGTATTGTCACATATGTTGTACATTTGTAAAGGTCTTGCTTTCAATTAAATTATATCAGCAAGATGTATCTACAGACACTTCCTGTCCCAGGGTGACAACACCTACTCCGTTTACTGCAACGTTGTCAGCCTACAAGCAGCACCAACACACATGTAAGGGATTAGGATGATGGTGTGCAAAGAGTCTAACAGCAGATGTCCCCAATCCCGGTACCGGTCTGTGGCCAGTTAGGAATGAGGCTGCACAGCAGAAGGCTTGAGTGAATTCATAAGGGAACAGAGAGCTGATGGAGCACTTTACCGCTCTGGCAGCTGTTCGTTCCTGGATGAGGGCAATGTGGTGCGTGATTCAGTGCATCACACTGCTTTTTTCTTATATACAAACTTTATTTAAAGTGTATAGAACATGCGATTCGGCACAGTGTGCTGCGATAAAATGCAGCATGCCTGTGAGTAGCAAGTGATTGCATCTGGTGGCAGGCTATATCAACACAGATTGAGAAGCAGGAACAGAGTGCTGATCTGTGTGAGATATGTACACATAGGAAAGGACAAAGACTTCTGCTGAGACCCCAGGATTTACAGGATTTCACTCTCCAAAGACCAGCCTGCCTTGGATGGCTCCTGAAGAAAGAAGACAAACACAAGCCTTCAGAGGGAAATGAAAGAATAAAGATTTAAAGTGATACTAAAGGCTTATTTTGTTTAAAGAATAAATAACAAGCATGCCTATACTTACCTGCTGTGTGCAGTGGTTTTGCACAGAGCAGCCCGGATCCTCCTTTACTCAGGTCCGCTGCTTGTGCTCCTGGCTCCTCCCTTCTGTCGGGTGCCCCCAAAGCAAGCGGCTTGCTATGCGGGAACCCGCTGCTCCATGTGTCCATTCACACAGGAGCCATGTCTCAGCCCCGCCCCATCTCTCTTCTAATTGACTCACTGACTATGAATGACAGCAGTAGGAGCCAATGGCTCCTGCTTCTGTCTCCGCCAATGAGAAGGAGTACCAGGATAGCTGAGACTCCAGTGCACATCGCTGGATCGAGAGGGGGCTTACGTGAGTATTAGGAGGGGCTGGGGGAAATGCTGCACACAGGTCTTTTACCTTCATGCATAGAATACAGAAAGATTAAAAAAAATCTTGAGCCTTTAGAATCACTTTAAGACAGAAAAGAATGTAAAATTAAATAAAGATGAAGTGCTGTGATTCCTTTGAGAGTTAATCCGTTACTTACCACACAATCATTTAACATTAAAAAAATATCATGGGCTAGGTCTATTTTAACTGCTGTACAAAGCCCTGTCATTGATGAAACTGATAAGACTCACTTACCATAAAATTTTGATTTGGCCAGAATGCTTCCACTAAGACAAAATCCATCTTTGCGATTACTGACATAAAAGGCAGACACTGGTGGATGATGGGAAACCTAGTAATGAAGTTCAAAGTAATGTCATGGATTCAAAATAATTATATACGATTACCAAAGCTTGTCAGACCTAACAAAGACTATAATGTAAATCAAAATGAAAACATACTAAACAAAGCAGGTTTTAGCTCATTCACATGTACCAGATGACCGTTGTTGGGCTAGTGTACTCGTGTATACCTGCAGCAGTGGCTAGTCAACCTGTACAACTGAATGATAGGCTGAAAAGAGCCAGGGCTGTCCGTGGCTGAAAGCAAGTCACAGTGACTTAAGGATGTGTGAATGAGGGCTTAAACTAGGTTCACTCTAGCCTGCATTTTACTGTGCAGGCTAGTGTCATTGTCTGCTCCAGCAGGAGGCTGCTAAATATTTTCTGCCATTTGTGTTGTATCAATATATTAATTGCTGTATATGATGCAAAGTTTTTATGTCAGGAATATTAAATTCCCAATAGTGGGCAAATAATACAGACAAGGTAAACCAACAGCTGTACCAAAACCTTTAGGCAAAGTTGTCCATACCTGCTCAGCAATGTAATAGGTCTTGCTATTGGTTTTTGGATGGATCCACAAGCAGCGGAAGGTTTCACCAAGAATAGGGTTATAAGGTTTTTTCAGACCCTTAAGAAGCAAATAAAAAAACATATTTAAAATACATGCAGTTATTTACACTGGGAAAATGTTCTAAATACCGAGGATTGTTCTACTAAGGTATTACTTTACTCTAAATGAAAAGCAGACTACAATTTTCGGATTGATATAGTCTCTCTAATTTCTGTTCCACTAATAACACTAACATACATTAGATTAATAGACTAAGTTGAACTTTTTATACAAAACCATAGAAATGGTTGAGCTATGATACAAGGATCCAGCACTGTTTTACACTGAAAAATTTACTTTTACCTGGACTTTAACTATCAAATGCCCTATTTCAATCAAAATGATGTAATGGAAGAAGAAATTTGACAGCATTGCTATTTTTGTTGTCTGCTGGAAATGCTTTAAGGTTTTTTTTTCTATCACCAGCACGTCTGTGTCCTTCACATTGCAATGTTTCAGTGTTGCACTGCTTTTCAGCTTTGTTTAGATACTCAATATGCAGAAAATCATTTCACAAAAACAGTGGTAAAAAAAAAAAAAAAATGAATTGTGCAGTTATTCTGAAATACACTTGCGAGAGGTTTGGCACATTACTCATGCCTGTTCTCACAGCTGCAACAGTCCAATATTTCTTCTCAGAAAAAGTCTTATCAAATTGAAAACCAAATGGAGGGATAGGTGAAGGGGTTATTTAACTGTCTACTATCTAGAGTCAAGGTCATTTGTTTCGTATTTTTTTCCAATTCCTTGAGTATGCCACAGAAGCCAAATATCACCCAGCTCCTGTATTCACAAGCTATCCTGGCCTCTCCCAACACAAATTATTAGTTGGTGATGCTGCCCATGAGAGTGATGGGCCAATAATAATGTGTATGAGGAAGGTGAAGAAGCTAGTCGCTGCTTGCCTTTAGGAAATTTCTGGTACTGGAAAGGGCATGCAGGTACGTGGAAATGCCTGACACTTAAAGTCTATTTATAAAGTGGCAGTACGGACTTACTGAAGCCATATTGCTGCTTAAAAAAAAACAAAAAAAAAAAACACATGTACTTTGGTGTGCTTTACAAATGAGCAGGATTCTGGTCATGAAACCTGACAAAGTCATGTGACTAGTCTCTTCTCGAATCATGAAGTTCTCATTTAGCTCCACACTGTGGCTTGCATCTTTTGAATGGCACATAAAATGAAGATGAAGTGCTAAGAAAATATTGGAGTTGATTTACTAAAACTGGAGAGTGCAAAATCTGGTGCAACTATACATGGTAGCCAGCTTCTAACTGCAGCTTGTTCAATTAAGTTTTGACAATAAAACATCAAAGCTGTTTGGTTTCTATGTAGTGCTGCACTGGATTTTGCATTTTCCAGTTTTGGTAAATCAACTCCATTGTGTTGTCCAGCAGAAAAAGGAAACTGGTATCTGCTCTCTGCTATAACTAGATTCCTTAGTGTTAGAGACAGCAATTTAGCATTTTCACGGCTCACTTTTAAAGGACATGAAAACAAATGTTCCAGCATGAAAATATCTTATGACATACTATAAATTTTACTCAAATCAAACCTTTGGCTTTTTGTAGAATCCCGACAGATACCACTTCACTACTCTCTTCATCCGGCTGTAGGGATTTTCTTCTAGAGCCGCTCTGGTAACAAAAAGAAAAACACATCTGGTATTTCAGCAAGTCTTTACAGATTTCAGTGGTAGAAAAAAATACTACAAACTTTTATGGGAACTCCCAAAAATACTTAGATATAATGGTAATACATTAATATATTTCTGAATGGATTACATGTTTTTTGGTTACTAAGCACAGTTGTTTTAAAGTGTAAAGAAAGACATTCTTGCTTTTTTATTTTAATTTTGGATAGAGTGGAGAGGGGTTAGGCTCCCTGTCAGGTATTTACTGTTTGCTGTCTGTGTCCCCGTTGGGGTGCTTCTAAGGTTAACTCAATCATTAGCCTGGTCAAAAAGGATTCTGCTACAGGCAAAGCAGATCTGGGTACTTTGTTAAATATTACTTGAAAGTTTTTCCCTGTAACTAAAAACTGAGACATGCCAACGGAAGTATACACCATCTTGGGCAGTGGCACAGCATTGGCTTCACCTAGTATCCAGATACTTGATATTTATGGTTTGAAAAATAACCTGGCACAGTATAATGAATTTGTACGGAGAACGTACTGTTGTTTGATTAATGATTACCCCGTTCAAAGTTTTATGTATACTTCCTTGCTGTGTACCTTAAACAGGGTTGCCAACCTTCACAGAATTTTGTTACTGACAAAACATGGAAAATTTACTGGCAGCGCACATTAACGGACAGCATGATATTAAAAATTAAGACAATCAATATTTAAACAGTATAAACACAATATGGAAACACTGACAATATCCATAACAAAAAATTTGACTGGTTTACACTTACAAAAGTCAAACACAGCATGACAAACCATCAGCCCCTAATATTTACAGACAGTTGAAAAAAAAACACAGATTTTTAAAAATTGTCTGTAAATTAACTGACAGTTGGCAACCCTGACCTTAAATCAAGAATCTAGAAAAAATCTACTAGAAAAGATTGACTATTCTTTCATAGTAATTATTTGCCTATTTATAAAAGAAAGTTTGTGCATATAAAATTAAAAAAAGTATTATTTTTTCTGGAACTAGTACGTTTTCAGTAGAGCTGTTTTTGGCATATGTTCATAAGCAATACAAAAATAATTATGTTAGCCTTTTTCATTTAAGAGTTTACAATATAATCACTGTCCATAGAAAAAGTTAAGGGGGTCCATATATGTCTCAGTCTTTGTAAGTAATGTGGTAAATTTCAATTATAAAGGCCAAACAAGAGATAAGGCTTTGTAGAAATTATGCTCCATGGTAACAAGGCTTTCTGACCTGCTCATTAGCACACAGTTTTCTTAACATGTGCCAAATGCAATTGTTCCTATGAAAATAAAAGGTAGAAAAACACTAACAGAAAATGCTGCACGTTTTATCAGTTAAGAAAATCAGTAGGAAGATGTAATTGGCCCCAGTAAGTTGTGAGGAGATGGCCTGATGGTTCACAACCCATTGTTTTCAGTAAGACTATTGCCTATATATAGAGGGTCTTAGGGCTTGCTTACCTTGGTGTTATGCATTATATGTCTGACATATCTGTAAAGCAGTTTTGAGAATCTGAAAAGAAGGGTTTCAATTTTGAAGTGGATGGTTTATATATGTGTGTTTCTGCTTCTGCCAGGCATGACTGGAAATGCAGAAGTCCTATTTTGCTGCATTTATTGCTTTACATGCTCTTCTCAATATGGGATCTCTATAAACCAACAAGCTGGCAGTCTAATATGGGACTATGACTCCAGCATTTAACAACTAACTTCAGCTAACTTTTTGTTAGCGTTGGATAGGGTGGGGAAAAGTTAAAGTGTATCTAAAACACAAAATTAATATACTGCAGTTTACCAGTCCTTACATGAGATGGCTGTATTATTTTTTTTATTTATTTCACCTAATAATCATGATAATACCACTTTCTGTCTTAGAGTAGCTATGCTCACTGCTCCACTATACCTATCAAGGGAGCCAGGGTTGTCTCCCAGGTTGGACTTCAAATGTCTGCCTTTGTTCATCTCCATACATGGCAGATCGAATATTAGTAGTTTACAGAGGGAAGAGGGGCAAGGACACTGTATTTCTGGCAATATCACCTGGTATTTTCACGTCAGAAATAATATTTGCATGAAAAAGTTACCTAATATAGCTATCACATCTAAGTAAACTTCAACATATCTTTTTTCATTGAGTTTTAACATTTTTGGATACATTTTCTGTGATGCAACTGGGATGATTTTCCCTCACTTCCTGTCTCTGACGCCCATATGGAAATGAGAAATACAGCTGTCACTGGGACAGAACGACAAAGCGAGCCATAAAAAACAATGTTGATGCTCTAACCCTTCCCCGATATACTAAGAATGTGTCCCTGTTGGGGAGTTTCTTTATTGCTACCTGTCCTGGCAAAAAGTGAGGTGATCCACCCCAATAGGCATACAGACAGCAATAGAAATCCCAGTACCATGTGTACATATTTATGCAATGTAGGAGGAAACTCAAAGAAACTCTTCATAAAACCTACCTACTGACTAAAATATTCCTTTCAATACAATTTACTTCACATTTGCCCAATGCATTTACAACTGTCACCTTGGTCTAGCTAAAATTGTACATGGAGGTAGGTACTATCATTTTTTAGGAAAAGCAAACCATGCGTCACAAATATACAGTAGCTTTCCTAGCAAATTGCATACTTCAACTATACAACACTTATTATGGCATCATTTAAACACTCCATAAATAAATTTTGTTTTGCCATGCATGAGTGTTTCCATCCAGACATAGCAGAGAGCTGTTTCTTAGCTGCCACATATGTACAGGCTTTAAATGACAGTACCTTGAGTGTTATGGTACTGTGTCTCAGCTGCACAGAGAACAATAAACAGCAAGATGGGTAATTTGGCATATGAAGAAAAATACACAAGATGATTATTATAGTGATAACATGTTTTTTTCAGAGCTCCCTATCATTTTCTTGCCAAGGCCAGTTTTACATAGCCAGTATACGCATTTCTACCATATTTCATTTTTTCTGAGAATGCAAGAACAAGAAACAAAGCTACAGCTACATATAACAATATTTACAACTGATAGTATTTCAATGATAGCTCTCCCTATTTATATCCATATCATTTATTCCCTCAGAGCACCCTGTGTTGCAGACCTGAGATCATTGGTTCAAACCCCACCAGGACTCAATCAGCATGATATTTGCATGTTCCCATTACGTTTGCATGAATATTTCCTGGGTGCTTTGTTTTCACTATACTCCAAGCACATATTAGTTTATTTTTTATTTTATTTATTTATTACTGGTACTTATATAGCGCCGTCAATTTACGCTTTACATATATATTGTACATTCACATCAGTCCCTAACCCTCAAGGGGCGTACAATCTAAATTCCGTGACTTACATTCATGCATACTAGGGCCAATTTAGACAGGAGCCAATTAACCTACCAGCATGTCTTTGGAGTGTCGGAGAAAACCTGAGTACATGCAGGCACATGGAGAACATGCAAACTCCAGGTAGGTGGTGCCGTGGTTGGGAAACCATGACCCTAGTACTGCCAGGCGGAAGTGCTAACCATTTAGCCACTGTTCTGTCCATTAGCTGTCCTAGTATATGTTCATATGTATATGACTGAGGCAGTGAAGTGAGATTGTAAACTCATCTAGGGACAAAAACAAATGTGTACACAGATGTATAAAACAACATTTATTACACATTGACAAAAGCCTTGGGCAGAGACATTATAAAGGATCTCATATTGGTACTTCTGTAAGCACTTTGTATATAATATCACTAGCCAGTAATAAAAAACTCTGGAATGTTTGGGAATGCAGAGTCTATGCAGTCCTCATACTCCATACTGGTACTTCTGTAAGAAATTGCAGACAAAAGGAAAAATCCTGTCCCTCACCATCTTTGCAGCATATCTACACATCATGATTGGCTCCAGGGAAAATAGTTTTTACCTTTAAGCTGCCAAAAGATGGATCGAAATTCAGCCAGTTCCTCAGCGACTGGCCAATTTTTGATCCATCTATGGCTGTTCCCGCTCGACAGAAGTCGATCTGTCAAACGGAACTGTTGGAAAACTTTTGTCAATTAGTGACTCGCAAGCCAATGTATTCTGACAGTAAAGGAGTCCTGCTGTCAGAACACAATAGCATTGCAGGGAGGATTCCTCAATCCATATTGCAGCTGTTGATTAGTATATTTTAACAGTGGAATAGTCCTGCTGTCAGGGTAGAATGGCACAGCTGGAAGGATTCCTCCATCCACCTTGCATGTGTGGGTGGGGGGGGAATCTATTTGTTTTTTTTAATCAGCCATCTGACTAGCCTAAAACTTAGAAACTGTTTACTGGCTGCAATAAGTCCAAAAGTCTAGATTCATCTTTTTGATAAATAGGATAAGCTGAAATGATTAATTTTGCAACTACAACCTATCACCAATCACATTTCCCTAATTTTGTTCTGTTCCTGCAACGATGTTCTTGTTAAATATTCTATAAACATTATTTTTTTTACTCTATATTTACAGAAATGCGCTCTTAAATACTCGCACTCCTAAATGCTCCCACTGCATAGTAATCGTGTACCAGCATTGAAGGCACTTTTGTGTACACAAGGGGTCTATTCGTAAAACATTAGTTGGACAAATGTCACAAGTGCAGACTGTATGATTTTTGGCTGTAATATCTGTAATAAACTGAGATTGTCAGCCCCAACCGGCAGCCAGAATGCGGTATCAGTTTCCGAAATACCTCAATGAGAAAATATACCACATTTTGGCCACTAGATTGAGGTGGTAATTAAAGGAATTGATCTATTACAGAAATTACAGCCAAAATGTGTGCAACCTGCAGGAATGTTTGTGACATTCGTCCAATTAATGTTTTATAAATAGACCACAAAGTGTCACGCTTACTTTTTTAAACCAGGAATACACAGAATCTGGAGCAGCTGTGCATGTTAGCCAATCAGGTTTTAACTTTGGCTTGTTCAATTAAGCTTTGACAATAAAACATGGAAGCCGATTGGTTTTTATGCAGCGCTGCACGAGATTTTGAAATCTCCAGTTTTAGTAAATTACCCCCAGTGTCTATAACTTCACTATGAAGTAAACATTCCAAACAAGTGACAGTTCAATGAATTAATAAATAGTATATTAGAGAAGACTGTGTTGTGTAAAACACTGTCCAGAAAATGCATTATAATAAAAGATATGAGACCACAGTGACTACATGCTAGATGTTTTAGATTCAAACTGAAGGACTGTTCTATTTCATTAGCACTGACTGATAGAGATGACCAAAGCTCACTCACTCAGACAGAAAGTCAGCATGATAGTAATAGTCTGAGAGCTTGTCCAAGAATGAACGGGGTTCCAGTATGAAGGTAGGAAGCACCACTTTGGACAGGTCCATTCCCCGGCCGCACCTGCTTCAGTAATGTCCAGATCAAACTTTTGTGCTCTTCTGAAACAGTCTCAGTCTGTGATGCTTCACCAGCCTTGAAAAGAAATGTTGTGAAAAATAAAAGGTCTACAAGGAACAGTGCTGCCATTCATGCAGATTTATAAAATAACACGCACCTTTGCTTGCCTCGCAACATGAACATATTTGGTATGAAAACAAAGACAAGTAATTACACCAAATACTGCAATGTTGTAGTTTTGTAAATATAAGGAGGGGAATGTACTAAGACACGAGCTGACAGAGTCTGGAGCAGCTGTACATTGGCAACCAATCAACTTCTATATTTCATTTTCAAAGTTTAACAGAACAAGCTCAAGACAGAAGGTTACTATGCAAAGCTGTTCCAAATTTTGTCTGCTCCAGTTTTTGTAAATCCCCCCCAATGTGTGTTTACATTGCTTCTTTACTTTTTTTTTTAATGAACAACAATGGGGTGAATTTATCAAAAACGGAAGCAGACAGAATGTGGAGCAACTGTGCAACCAATCAAATTCTATCTTCAGCTTGTTCAAATAAATTTTTAAAATGAAAGCTAGAAGCTGAATGGTTGTCATGCACAGCTGCTCCAGATTCTTGTAGAAATAAAACAGTGAAAAAACTCCTGCGCCAACTAAATAATGTGCATTTAAGTGTCAGTGAATAAATGCTGCGGCTGACATCAATATGTGTTCCCACATAAATATGCAAAACTTTGAAAATAAATGTAGTGCTGCTAACTAAAACAAATCTACATAATAAACATAAAACTTGGTATATAGTGTGATGCTGTGCTCGTGCTTAAAATCCACTTCGTGCAATCTTGTTCCACCTTAGTGCTCCCAGAACTCTCACCTCCAGTTCTCATTAAAATAACGTGTACATAATATCTCTGTTTCTCTCCTCCACTCCTTATAGACACTCCATATCCCTCTTCTCCTCTTAGAGAAATGCCTGGTTGTATCAGAAGCAACCCTTCTACCTTAGATGAGCTGTATCAACTCGTTCATACATGCAAAAAACAATGCTTCATATGGTGCATTAAACCTTTAAAACAATAACATTTATTACAAATGTTGCGCTCACATAAAAACAGCATTAAATCGCTTTTACAAACCCATATTGCACTTCTACATGTGTCACTTCCTATTTCGGTCTACCTCCAACTACTCCCGACACGTTGCGTCACCATCACGACTTCATCAGGGATTCTGACACATGCGGAAGTGCGATATGAGATTGTAAATTGTGGATTTTAAGCAGGAGCACTTAATCAGTGGTGTTGGTCACATATGTGATAAATGGACTGATCTATTGAAGTAAGATTGCATGAAGTGGATTTTAAGCAGGAGCACTTTGAAAATCAGTGATGTTGGTCACATATGTGATATATGGACTGATCTATTGAAGCAATTGTTTTGCATTTTGTTGTTAAGATATAGTTGAAATAATTTACTTTCTGCACAGCATCACGCTATATACCACGTTTTATGTTTATCATGTACTTAGTGTTAGTTAGCAGTGCTACATCATTTATTTTCAATATTTTGCTCCAGATTCTTGCTGCTTTAGTTTTGATAGATTTCCCCTAATGTACAGTGGGTATAGAAAAGAATTACCCCCCCTTTAAAATAATCACATTTTATTGCTTTGCAGCCTGAAATGAAGACACACACAGCTTTTATTTTTTTCCAGCTGTACTTACACAGTGCAGCTTATAGCATTCAAGTGAAGATATAAAATCAACATGTCAGAAAAAAAAGATAATTCAAAAACAGAATTACTGAGTTGGAAAAAGGATCACCCCTTTTGCTTTAATTACAGCCTTTAGTCTGTTGGGATATGTCTCTAAACTTTGCATATCTAGCAATATTTGCCCAGTCTTCAAATTCAGTTAAATTTGATGGTGACCATTGGTGGAGTACAGTCTTCAAGTCATTCCACAGATTTTCAATGGGGTTTAAGTCTGGGCTCTGACTAGGCCATGCAAAGACATTCACCGTTTTCTCCTTTAACCACTGGGTGGTCATTTTTGCCATGTGCTTTGGATCATTGCCATGTTGGAATGTAAACCTTCTTCCCATTGACAACTTTCTCCTAGTTACTAAACCCAAACAAATATGAAGTCAAAACTTAGATGCAGAAAAAAAACAAACATCACTTGCAGGTTCAGAAGAGGAGTGTTTCGGCAAAAAAAAAACAAAAAACAAAACGCCCAACGCGCCTAAGAGCTGGCACTCAGCATTTGAGAGTTCACATCATTTCAATGACCAGAATAAATTAATATTCTAGCCAAAAGAAATAATGAACGCCTTAATGCGTCCTGCCAGAAGAAAAGGCATTCTAAAGAGCTTGGCAAATGCCCAGTGTGCATGAGGCCTTAATCTGGGATAGTGACTTAAAAAGCATTCAAGCTACTAAACCAGTCTGGCAGCTAGACAACCAGAATTTACACAAAGAGCTCTGCAAAAGCAGCCTATGTATTTACATTTCTTGAAAACCTCTACTTCAGGATCTGATATAAATGCATTTTACGCTATTACATCCCCTAATATAGACTGGAAATACCTTAAAGAGCAAATGCACCTTAGTGCAGTAACATTTAAATATTACCTTCTCCTGACTCTAGACCCCCCTCGCCTGTTCCCAATCCAGTAATATTGCTGATGAAATCATATAACAACCAGTCAAAATTGTCTGAGCTGGGCCCATGCACATGCATGCATTAAAGTGTTACTAAACCCACATCAGTAAAATCAGTCTGTATATGCAGTAAAGCATGGTTGTTATACTCACTGTGGAACCTAAGAGGTTAATCCTCGGCACTGTGTAAAAAGGCCGTTTGATCCTATCTTCTCTGATCCTCCCCTTCTTCTACTGTCCCCAATCCATCTGCTGATAGTACAGAGCTCCAGGAGTCACTCTGCACATGCTCAGTTTAATCCTGAAAGTTTTTTTTTTCTTTGGAAGGGTGCATGTAATCAGCACAGGGTAAATCAGCACTGTCCACAGGGTCAAGGATTATGCAGCCTCATAGGACAGTCAGAACAGAATGAAAACTCCTCCTACAAGCTTTAACCAGTGCTCTACTGGACACTGATAGAAGTCACAAGACTGCTATATACTGATGAGAAAAGGTATACAGCAGTTTATATTTACTAAATTAATTGCATTTCCATGTTGTGTGCACTGTGGGAGACCAGATATAGTGCATGCAGGGTCCTGGGTTTAGTAACACTTTAATTCAGTTCTTTGGAAAGTGTATATACTCCAACGGAGACACTCATTAAAAGCTTTCCATAAAAACTGGATGGAGATTGCACCATTGGACTGAATACAGTGTTCAGTGACTGGGTGGGAGACGATGTGCAGGAAAAGGAACACCAGAAATTTAATTACATCTTAATGTATTCTCTTTTAAATAAGTTCCCATGATACAAACTACCAGGTAGAATATTTTCTGCTGGTCTGGGGGTGGGTACATACTCCAAGAAGAGTGTTGGGTGAACCAAACTGTTGTACAAGACTGTTCTAGCTGTACACTTGGGGCTTCACTAAACTATACAGGAGCAATCCCATTGGTAAGACAGTTCATTATTTATTACTCATGACCACTACGGCTACAGAGCGCTCATCTCTTGCTTCGCTGTCACAATCTTTTCTAAACTTTAAAATAACAAGCAGACTTGGTTTTTGACAAATGTTCTTTTCATAACTCACAAACTTGATTCTGGAGTACATGAAATATGAAATGTTTCATACCGTATAACTGCAATTTAGTTACATATTCCAAGATCATACTCCTTTGATGTACATTCATATAGAACTGCTAGTTTAAAGCAGAAATGAACAAATTGGGATGCCAAGCATGTACAGTAAGAGCAGTAGGCAGGAAGGCTAGGAACTCTCTCATTTCAGCCCTTCTAGGCATGTGCTCAAATGTAAAAAGCAGTAGTAGGAGCAACCAATTTATGTTACTACAGGACCCAGTGAGAATGTTTAAGTGCCATCTTAACAAAAAAAAAATTAAAAGAAACATTGTACCTAGCAGAAACTTATCCTGCCGAAAATACTCAGAATATACATTTCCAGATTTACCAAGGCAGGTTGTTATTTCTGAAATATTGGAAAAAATCACTACAGGGACTCATCTACAAATCAGATGATGGCAATGACGGAAGCACATTTTCTCACCTCTCCCAGTTCTTCATGGGACTCTTCCAAATATGTCGCCCCCTTTATTATATCAGTTGGTTCAGGGTCAATAAATGAGTCATCCTGTCTCTCTGAGGTGTCACTGTCACTCTCCTCACTTTTGCCAAGCCCATCATTATCAGATTCCTCGTGATCATGGTCATTCTCCTTATCGGATTTGTCAGAATAAGTGTCCTGGTCTTTAAAGTGTTGCCTTTCAATTTCGCTGTCATTTAACCTGAAACAAATTGCACAAAATGATATGAAACCCTAGATCAGATCAGCCACCTTGATGACTGGTGAGAAAATATTTAACAAGCAGCAGAACAGGATCGGTCTCTCTATTACAGCTTCCTCTCCAGCAAGGAGAACAGTGAGAGGTACAGTGGTGGCATAACCCAGTCTTAGTCCAAAACTCATGAGACTAGCTACTAGATGCAGCAGAGCTGTGACTCTCACCATGAAGATATAAAACTAGAAGGCTCAGGACTGCCTAGGCACAAAAGTGCATGACTATTTTTCAGGAGGAATTTAAGACAAAAGGAAAAGATTTGCAGGGTCCTGCATCAGCAGCACAATTAACATTTTATAGACAATCCCTGTAGGAATACAAGTCTTCATCTTCAGAGTTCTGTAGTAACATAGAAGTCAATTCGCTAAGTGAGAAATACCGCATGAATTTTTGAGGTAAAATAACTCATGCGGTATTTATTTCAAAAGTAGTCAATTCACTAAAAAACATAAGTTTTTTACTGAATGCGTTAAATATTTATGTTTTGCGATATTTAGCACTTAAATATTGCATTATTTTTGGTGTTGTTTTTTGCAGGCTAACATTGCACCAGAATGCACACAGCAATTATGTGAAACTATGAAAACATTGTAGTGTGCTTTCATTCACAAAAATGATCTCCCTCTGATGAAATGTTACAATTTATTTTCATTCCTGAGCTCAGAGGAGAAAATTTTTACACCGATACATTTTTTACTTTTCACTTTCTGGCCAGTGCAGAGTTCCTCTAATTGTTATTTTGTACATTTCTAAAATACCGTCAGCAAACACCTGGTGATAAAGAACGAATGTGCGTGTTTTTTAATGAATTGACTAATGATTTATCTCATGGTTTTTTTTTTTTGCAGTATTTATCTATTTTAACAAATGTGCGGTATTTACCTCAAATTCGATATTTTACTTTGATAAATTGACTCTTATCTCATGCGATAATTTATGCAAATGAATCACGTGACCGCGTTATGCGGTAACCTTTAGCGAATTGACCTCATAGTGCTTGGTGGAAGAAACCACAACACCCGATGAGGAACACTCTATCTGACCACAAGGTGACCTTCAGATAACATATCAGATAGCAACTGCACCCAGAGCTTTTTCAGCAACTATTCCCCCCTAACATGGCATTTTCAAGTACCCATATAATGTACAGTTACTTTGAAACACTGCCTTGACATGGCTTTACGTTTTTGCAAATTCAAGTATCAAAATGCAAAACTAGATCTGCAAATGTTAAATTCTCTAAGCCTCTAACTTGGACATCTGCTTATATAAAAATGTTATGCACCAACCTGGCTGCACTGAAAGGACTACACTAATGATGTGTGCTGGAAAAACATCAATACCATATTAGATTGTAAATTATTTAGGTAGATTAGGTTCAGAACATACTGATTTTAATTTTATTTTTAGAAAAGTGAAAAGATAGCACTAGATACTTACTGGAAATTTTCATTGCTGTGGATGTTGTTTGCCCTTAGCAAGCCATAGAAGTTTACATGGCTGTTCTCATTAGAGGAGTTCAGGTCATGCTCTTTACCTTCCCTGATCATGGTGCGTTTCAGCAAACTGGAGCATTTTAGAGCCAGCTCTAGTGCATCCATCCAGCACCTTCCTAGTATAAAACACAGAAGCTGACAAAATAAATATCATATCCCTACAAAACATAACAGCTATTATTGCATTTAACTCTATGCTTTTAGCTTTTGGGCACCTAGACTTTGATGAAGCCGTTTGAGTCCATGTGCAGACAGAATATGAATGGGGGTGATTTTACAACGACCAATCAGTTGCTGCACTTGCAGGGTTTTAATGAGGAAAGTGGCAAGGTCTTCATTTCTTTAGACGTGATATCCCTTTGGGAGTATCTCACCAATGCTGATATTTTTGTTGCAGGGGATGCCCAAAATCTAACTTGTATCTTAGTCTTAGTGCAGACTTCTGGGAAAATCAGTAAGCCAATCACACAAGCAGGAAATGACATCTCTGGGGTGCATTCTGTACACCATCTATGTAGGGAAAGCCTCCAGATTGCCATATTGCATTGTATATTACCAAATATTACTGAATTGCAGATTGAAAAGAAAAGTAATAGTAATGCATATCTCCTGATGTTTTTTTAACAAAGAAAACATGTCCAAAAATATTATAAATTATATAATTTTTAAAACTTTAGCTGTATATTTCTTGCCACTACCATGACTCACCAACAATTTTGCAAATTTTTTTAACCTACCTAAAAAAACATACTGACACTAAACATACAATTTGTTTCTATCCTATGTAAATCACACTGACACTAACCTAGATCAAAGTCCTGAGCTAACAATTACTATTGATTTCAACAGACTATTCTTCACAGACTTCTCTAGAGAAGATAAGATTAAAATCTTTTTCTGTTCACAGTGCAGAAAGAGATGCAGGGGGCTGGCCAACACAGTCATCATGTGAGCTGGTATGTCATCTCTCAGTTGTAAGGCCTCATGCACAATGCTATTTTGTAGGGAACTTAATAATTAATGTCAGTTTTGGCCACAAAATGCTTGTAAAAAGCATTTGGGTGTTAATTTAATTGGCCAGAATAAATAAGTCGAAATTAATGCTCAAGTGCTAAACGTGCCTCACAACAACACACGTTTAGATGCGGTTAACCCTTTGAGGACCATAAGATTTTGGAACGCCAAAAGAATCAATTTTTTTGTTTTTAAAGTTCGTACACTTCAGTTGCTGTAACTAAGCCATTTCATGAAATAATTGGCAAAAAACTAGATCCATTTGTTGTTTGTTGATAAGAACTAATATTTTGACTCAAACCAAAAAAAAAAAAAGTTTCAAGTTTTTAATCAGATGATACACGCAATTAAAAACATGGGACAAAGAAAAACATTGGTCCTCAAAGGGTTAAGCATGTCAAGCATTTTTCAGCCAAAATGCTGCTGCTCCAGGATACCCTGGCAGTAATGTTTCTTTTCTGCCACTAAACTCTCCCACCACAAAATACTGCTAAAATATTATGTGTACATGAGCCACTTCATGTCCGGACACTTTTACCCCCTTCCTGTCCAGGCCAATTTTCAGCTTTCTGCACTATCACACTTTGAATGACAATTGCGCGGTCATGCAACACTGTACCCATATGAATTTTTTAGCATTTTTTTTGAGACAGCTAAAACTTTATTTTGGCGGTAGTTATTCACCATTGGGATTTTTTTTTTGCTATATAAATGAAAAAGTCCCAACATTTTGAAAAAAAAGTGTTTTTCTTATAACACTTTGCAAATAAATAATCTTTCTGAATAAATCCTGGCCAACATTTATTTGGTTATCTTTTTAGTAAAAAAAAATAACCCAAATTAGTTTATAACCAAAAATTATAATTTTTCAAAATTTTTTTTTTACATTGTTATTTAAAATTTTTTATATTATTTTTTTTTTTTACATACTGTCTACTGTCACCCTAGCAGTACAGTGTCACCACCTCTGGGGTGGGTGATTTTTTTTTTTTTTTTTTTTTTACACTGATTGCTTTTACACCCTTAAAGGCTGTAGAAGGAATCATTTCTCCTTCTCTCTGGCTGCATTCTTGCAGCCATTGAGAAATACTGTGTGAGCTGTGATTGGTCACAGCTTGTCACATGGTACAAGGCTGTCGTGAATAGCCTTGTACCATGTGATCTCTGTGATTATTCACAGATTTCACTAGTAGTAAGCAATGATGTCAGAAGTGACATCTTGCTTACTACTATTCATGTGATCACTGATTGGTCAATCAGTGATCACATGATCGCTTCCTATGGTAGCACACAAGCATGCTCGAAACCAAGCCGGGCTCTGTGCGTCTACCGACACACACACTATGCAACTTGGCCTCACCCTCCACTCCCCTCGTCAGTGGATTTGACGGACAATGGTTTGATTGACAATGGCTCTGCTGCCGCCATGTCCAGTGAGGAGAGGGAGAGACAGAGCAGGGTTGGGTCGAGATTAGACTCCGGTAAGTATTTTGAGAGGCAGGGAGAGAGCCAACACTAGACGTTTTTGTTTTTTTACTGTAATGAAGAATTATGGTAAAAAAAAACCCTTCAGCCTTTACATCCACTTTAATCTCATGAGTCATTATTTTATCACTACTTCCAAGGCCTTCTTCTCCTGCTCTCATCAATATACACCTCATAGAAGCTCATTCTTAATCACAGCCACAAACTACCAATATCTTTGGGACAAACATTTGTGCAATTATTTTGAATGGTCTGTTACACAAAAATGTTGCATAAAAACAATGACCCACATGCAGCAAAACCCTTTTGTGAATTGATAGCAAAATTTGAATTTTAAATTGCCAAATAAAGCATGGAAATGAGATGACCCCATGGTTAAGGCTTTTCTGAATCTAAATCCACTGCACAGTTCAGCTGAAAGAAACGCATGCACAGAGCTCGACAAATCACAGGCGCAGAGTCACCATGGTGCCTAGAAATTGCGTCCTGGCTCCTGGGTTCACACACTGCTTCCCACTGGCTTCAATGCAAAATCATATGCCATTGACAAGGCAAAATTGCTTCCCATTGGCTTCAAGGCAAACACGTCTCCCATAGACGTCAATGCCAAACCGCCTCCAATAGACTTCAATGCCAAACCGTCGCCCATAGACTTCAATGCCAAACCGCCTCCCATAGACTTCAATGCCAAGGCGCCTCCCATAGACTTTAATGCAAAGGAGCCTCCCACTGATTTCAATGTAAAACCGCCTCCCATAGACTTCAATGCTAAACCACCTCCCATAAACTTCAATGCCAAAGCGCCTCCCATAGACTTCAATGCCAAAACACCTCCCATAGACTTTAATGCAAAGGAGCCTCCCACTGACTTCAATGCAAAACCGCCTCCCACTGACTTCAATGCCAAACCGCCTCCCATTGACTTCAATGCGAAACCGCCTCCCATTGACTTCAATGCAAAAACTCCTCCCACTGACTTCAATGCAAAAACTCTTGTAAATTGCCAAATAAAGCATGGAAATGAGATGACCCCATGGTTAAGGCTTTTCTGAATCTAAATCCACTGCACAGTTCAGCTGAAAGAAACGCATGCACAGAGCTCGACAAATCACAGGCGCAGAGTCACCATGGTGCCTAGAAATTGCGTCCTGGCTCCTGGGTTCACACACTGCTTCCCACTGGCTTCAATGCAAAATCATATCCCACTGACAAGGCAAAATTGCTTCCCATTGGCTTCAAGGCAAACACGTCTCCCATAGACGTCAATGCCAAACCGCCGCCCATAGACTTCAATGCCAAACGCGCCGCCCATAGACATCAATGCCAAACCGTCGCCCATAGACTACAATGCCAAACCGCCGCCCATAGACTTCAATGCCAAACCGCCTCCCATAGACTTCAATGCCAAGGCGCCTCCCATAGACTTTAATGCAAAGGAGCCTCCCACTGATTTCAATGTAAAACCGCCTCCCATAGACTTCAATGCCAAACCGCCTCCCATAAACTTCAATGCCAAAGCGCCTCCCATAGACTTCAATGCCAAAACACCTCCCATAGATTTTAATGCAAAGGAGCCTCCCACTGACTTCAATGCAAAACCGCCTCCCACTGACTTCAATGCCAAACCGCCTCCCATTGACTTCAATGCGAAACCGCCTCCCATTGACTTCAATGCAAAAACTCCTCCCACTGACTTCAATGCAAAAACTCTTGTCAATAGCAATGCTATGTGAACAATTATCTCCACGTGCCACCCTACTCTATCACTTGCAAGTCTGGAACGCACCGCTACAAACTCGCACAGGACCCTTTTCGTAATGGCACTCTAAGCACAATGTGTGTGGATTGCATGAACCACCTCAATAGGAACACATAATATCTAGCCTGCCATTCCAATCTGTGAGTTTGGTTCACACATATATGTGAATCTGGATGTGTTTTCAGAGTGGCTCCATTCACACCTGGGTGTTTTGGGATTGCTGCAGGATCTATGCGATCACAAAATGCAGGTTCAGGCGCCATTATTTTCAATGGCACCTAAAACGTGGTGCAGTTTTGCAGTGAATATTGTGTGGTAAAATCACATCGTGTGAAGCTTATTGCCCAAAAGTTGCCGTGCCCTGGGCGCTAACAACCCACATTACGCTAAAAGAAACTGGCTTTTAACTTGTTAGCTGGCTCCTGAATTCAAAGAAAATTTGTCGAGCCCTGTGCATGCACATTATATTGTCGTTTGATCCATGGAAAATCCAATTGCCTCCTGGAGGATCAGGATGGAATTTTTTTTCACCAGCTAGAGCAAAATGGGTCATGCATTTTTGGGTATTTTTTTGCCTATGTATCAACTCTGGGTAAAAAAAAATTGTGTATATGGAGGTTTTCTTTTTTTTCCCCTATTGGTTGAACTAGATGGACTTGTGTATTTTTTTCAACCCAGCTAACTATGTTTTTGAGATGTTTACAAGTACACTCACAAAGATTAATGAACAGGTTCTAACATGTTATAATACTACTACCTTTTGGCCGGAGTTAAACATGAGGTGTATTGAGAACAGAAGGAAACAGACCATTTGAAGTGGTGATCCACATTCAGGAGAAATAAAGGCTTGCAAAGGTAACATTAATATATTAGGCAAAAAAACAAAACAAAAAACATACTTTTGTAATATGTCTACTATATTAAATAAAGTATTGTGTGCTCTGCAGCAAATGTAGTAAAAATAACTCATGTAGCCTAGCACATTGTCTCTGCTTTTGCATACACCTTCAGCAAAAATAGGTTTTGTAATTATATTAATTTACAATATCAGTTGGACACAAGGGAAGATGTCAACACTTCAGAGTGATGAAACACTGAGAAATACATATACAGTGTCTACTTTCATAGTGCTGCAGTAGAAACATTATTTCTGATACATAGTCACAGTTCAATAATCAGCTATGGAATAAGAAACACATTCATTATCCCTTGGGGATGGCGCTTGGATTGATTACTAGCAGTTACTGCATTATATTTCCCATGTCAGGGAGGTTAGCAACATTTGTCGACATCTGGTTTTAATGGTTGTAATTCCACACTCACAGTAGTCAAAATCCACTCCAAATTAGGATGTGATTAATATTACAAAGTGCCCTGAAAATATGTTTGAAAAGCTCTGCTGGTGTAGCGGAGTTAAATCATTTTGTCTGCTGGCACAATGGCATTTTCTGTTGCCTCACCCACATCAGTTGCATGCCACAGAGCAGCTATGCAAAACCCAGGAATGTTATTTCACATTAACACTCTAAGTACCAAGTGACTATGAACAGTTGCTAAAAGGGTGAAGCAATCCATCCATTCTATCTTTATTACTTGACCAATTTAATCAAAATTGCAGAACATGTTTGTTTCATGTTTCATTTCAATTACTGTGAGTAAACTATTCCAAATTAGCATACTGATTCAGAAAACATAAGTGTTTTAAAGTTTCACAGATGCAGAATATAAACTGGCCTAATCCAAAAAAGAATCTTGTAAAATGAGTAAAAATGTAGAGTGAAAGCAGAAAAAGAAACTTTGGTCTCCTGATTCCCCCCAGGGTTGAATGAAAGAAAGCTACTTGGACGCCAATTAAAACCTCCACATTGACTACGGATTGCAGGGCCTCCCACTCTAATTTCAAGGTAGCCCACCCCAAGTACTATATTTTTTAACGGAAACTTTGAATAGCGAATGGGCCTAAATTAAATATTTAGCTTAAAGCGGAGTTCCACCTGAAAAAAAAAAGAAAGTCAGCAGCTTTAAAAAACTGTAGCTGCAGACTTTTAAAATACAGACACTTACCTGTCCCTCGATCCCGTGTTGTCCTCACCACCGCTGGTTTCACCGGCTGTCTTCTCACCCTGGCATCTTCAGTGTGGGCACCCGGCTGTGACAGATTGCGGCTTCACAGCCGGGTGCCCACTGCACATGTGTGAGAAGTGCTGCACTTTGTGAATGGCCCCGTAGTCTTCTGGGACCTGTCACGTGTCCCAGAAGACTACGGGGGGAAGAGGACAACTTCTGCTACCGATCGCCTAGGCGATCGCAGCGAAAGTGGAAGTACCTGTCAGATTCGGGTACCCGCTCCCCAAAGGTGCCAATTCTAAATGGGGAGTGGCGGACAAAGACTTAAATCGAAACTTCCCCTTTTGGGTGGAGCTCTGCTTTAAGGTGTGCTTTAAAACAGAAACTGACCATCCAAGCAAAAGTTGTTTTATGACACTTTATTTAATTTTCCATTGTCCTGTACTATTTAGCTACTATTGAGTTTATTGAATAAGGCAAAGAACAATGTGCCAAGAACAATATGTATCAGCAAGTTTACTGGTCAGGTCATAAACTGAAATCTGATTGGATGCTTTGGGTTTATACAATCAAAAACATTAGGATGACAGGTGGATTACATCCTCCAAAGTTTGCCAACCTAGGATCTAAGGTCATTTTTTTCCACTGTTTCTTACATAGACATATATGCTTGGCTTAGCATAGCATGCAAGGAACATGTTTCTATTAATGATAGGGGCAGAGAGGAAAAAGTGTAGCATCTCCATGATAAACAAAAGAACACAGGCAACATTTTCACATGTCTGCCTGCCATTTCCCCTAGGGTCGCTTGGGCAGAGTTGCCTGTTGGTGTCAATAAACATCATATTTTCCCTCAGATACTTATCTCAGTTTTTACTAGTCTAGCTAGACTAGTCCTCTTAAGGCAGGAGCCTGGTTACCTTCATTTGACACATAACTATTCTGCATTTGAAAGCTCAGCCTTTGTGCAAATGTATATTAAAACATGCAGACCTACTATGAGGCATAAGTAAGGCAGTTTCCCTACTTCAGCAAAGTAACTACAAAATGGAACTATAAATATCTGAAATAGTATACATTTTTGTCAAACTTAAGGTTCACTTTTTAATTATTCTACAATCTATTGATTAACTTAAAGTAAAGCGAATGGATTACCTTAACAATATAAAGTGATCTATTCCCTCTTACACCCTACATACAGATAACATTATCCACCTTTGAAATAATATGATTCTAAATAAATACTATGTTGGCAGCTGGGAAGGTACAAATGTGAGCAGCTGGTATTGACTAAGAGCAAACATAGTACAGACCAGCCTTTATTTCAAGTCTTGCCTTTTAACCACAAGAAATATTGGTATTTACCGTCTGATTCTGACGCAGCTCTTATAATCAAGTAACTGCCTGGAAGAGGCTGAGTAATGGATCCAACAGCTTCACCTTTAGGACCCTTAAAAGAAGTGAAGAAAAGAAAAGGAAAATATATTCAGTAAGTTAACAGGAACCATCTAAAAAAAGGTTCCCAGCAGAAACACAAGAAACAAAATATATGAAGTTTTCCTACACAAAAACCCCAGCCCACGGCCTCTACGGACAGCACTGGTTACTTACTGCAAAACAGGGGGAGCTTCCTTGGAGCTAGGTTTATTTCTATTTCAGACCTACCTCCCTCAAACATGCTAAGGAAGAGATATGGTGGCACACAGGCTCTAATTTTAAGAATTCTTTCACATGTATATTACTATCAAAGGCATACACCGATCAGCCATAATATTATGAACACCCACCATAACCTGTCAAGGCATGGATTCCTTTAGATCTCTAAGAGTATGCTGTGGTATCTTGCACAAAGTTGTCAACAGCAGATACTTTAAGTCCTGTAAATTGCAAAGTGGAGCCTCTATGGGTTAGACTTGTTTCTACAGGACATTCCACAGATGGTCAGTTAGATTGAGATCTGGAGAATTTTGGAGGACAGGTCAACACCTTAAACTTCTTGTTGTGTTCCTCAAACCATTCTTGAATTCATCAGACCAGGCCACCTTCTTCCATTGCTTCTGTGGTCCAGCTATATTGCTCACATGCCCACTGTAGGCATTATGCAGCCCTATACATAGCAAACTGTGATTCACCTTTCTATCAAAACCAGCATTGCCTTTTTCAGCAATTTGAGCTACAGTAGCTCTTCTATTGGATTGGACACTGTACTTGGGTTCTGCTAGGTGGTCTCATACGGAAACGGAATTATATTATGTGATCTGTCATTGTACTGAGATTACGCTATGTGGTCTTTCTGATATGGTAGCGGAGTTATGCTACGTGTTCTTTCTAATATTGCACTGAGATTATGCTATGTGTTCTTTCTGACACTGTATTGGGGTTATACTATGTGGTCTTTCTGATGTTGTACTGGTGATATACTATAGGAGCATGAGGTCCACAACATTTAAAATGCCTTTACACATCAAAAGAATGCAAAAATCCATAAAAAGATTTTTTACAGCAGAGTAGCAAATTTTACCTTAACAGCCCAGATTGACTGTTCCAGTGGGTGGAAAAGTTTAAAGCAGAATCCATCCTTTTTAGACGGCCTCTCAATGATTTCACAGGCATTCAGTAGAACTGTGCCTACCCACTGTCCATTTTTGGGAGTTTTATAGATTAACAAGACCCCCGGTTTTAACACACACCACAGTTTCGTCCAGCTTTTTAATGTCCCTCTAATCTGTAAATAAACATGCAACACATTCTTAAGAAAATCCACTTCTGATAAAATACAGCACATCCAATTGTTACACGAGCACTACTGTAATACAATAAAAAAATGTCTTTCTGGGTTATTCTGCTGCCAGCTACAATTTTCTAAAACTTTTCAAAAAAAGAAAAAAAAAAAAAAAAGGATCCCTTGTGTTGATTCACAGAACTCCCCAGAATGTTGCTTCCTGCTCATGCAGTATGGGAGTAGGGAAGGACGCACCAACAGAGCGGATGCTACCACAGGGTTATACTGAAGGAGTCACATTTGGATGCTTTGGTGATTGACACTGGAGAATTTTTGGGAGAAACTACCTAGCGTTATTGATATTGCTGGGGCGGATATTTTCAGGCTACCCTAGGCTGTGGTCATTCAAGACACATTACAGATACTATAGAGATCTTCATCAGCATGTGGATAATGTCGCTGTGTGTTTCCCCGTGTCAGTGAATCATCTAGTGGTCCTTAATTATGCAGCATATATGGATTTGGCCTATGGGCGGATGTTCATCTGGGACCTTTTTAACCGCTATGTGGATGTTTCTGCCCTTTACTACCACTCACATTGACATTTCAGATATTGGACTTCATTGTCTTCAACTCCTTAGGGGTCCTGAGGAAGCCTATTGGCGAAACGCGTCGACATTTGGAGTGCCATGATGTCATGTTATGTAATACTATACTGGGCTGTTTAGTCACAATACTGTTTTTATGGTAAATTTTTGACCTTTGGAGTGTTATGATGTCATGCTATACAATGCGGTGACACATTGGGCTGATTAGTGCAATTACTATTCTTCATGGTAAATTTTTGGAAGATAGGTTTCAATAAACATGTTTTATATAACAATATGATGTTGTCCACTTTTTTGTACCAGTAGAGTCCCATTTGGTTTTTTGATATGATGATTTAGGGATGAGGTACATTTGCAGTCTATTTTATATAATTATGCAGTATTATTATTATTATTATACAGTATTTATAAAGCGCCAATAGTTCGCTCAGCGCTGTACATTACAGAGGGGAACAGAACATGTGACAGAACAATACCAATACAATGCAAAACACAGTATGATGTTCCCTGTAGTTTTTCTTATTACAACACTGAGGACTCTTGTAATTACATCAGGAGATCCATCCTCTCAGTACTCAGAAAGTGGCTCTAGGAAATTATGGGAATCCATTTATGTTTCAATACAAACAGCAGTAAATAAGACCAATTGATATGGTGGGCACACGGTGGGGAGGAGGAGCCTTACTATAGTGGGTACTCGGCGGGGAGAAGGAGCCAGGAGCACCAGTGGGGGACCCGAGAAGAGGTAAGTAGAACATGCTTGTTATTTTAAAACATTTTATCCTTTACAATCACTTTAAAGTGGTTGCAAAGGCTGAAGGTTTTTTACCTACATGCATGCTATGCATGAAGGTAAAAAACCTTCTATGTGCAGCAGTGCCCCCAGCCCCCTCAATACTTACCTGAGCCTCATCGCGATCCAGCAATGTGAATGACAGCCTTGGCTGCCCCGGGTCTCTGCCTCCTCATTGGTGATGCACTTTGGCACAGTTAAGAAGTGGTGATGGGCTGGTTTTACCTTGTCACGGTCCTATTTTAGAGAGCAGCTTAGGGGGCATTTATGAATAAAGCTGCCTAAATATGATAAACTTGTCTTAAATCTGCCCCACTGGTGCTACTTAGCATTGCTTAGCTGTGTGAAAGAATTGAGAAATATCCAACATAGTACTTAATTACTCAGTTACTTCTTGGTCAATGACTTGGCTTGACTATTGGACATGGGGGTTGATTTACTAAAGGCAAATAGACTGTGGACTTTGTAAAGTGCAGTTGCTTGAGAGCCGTGTAAATTAGATAAAGCTTCACTCTGCAAAGAATACCCAATTGCGTGCAAGGAAAATAAAAAAAAACAGCATTTTTGTTTGCATATGATTGGATGATGGAAGCTAGCAGAGTTTCTGCTTGTTTACTAAGCTCTGGAGCAACTGCTCTTGCAGAGCACAACTACACTTTGCAAAGTACACAGTCTATTTGCCTTTAGTAAATCAACCCCTTGGTATCCTTCAGATGTTAAGGGAACATATACCTCCCAAGAGCTCAGCATCGGTTACACAATAAAGAGATGCTTGATTGAGAGAAATATGTAAACCCAAATTATATCCCTAAGCACCATGCCAATAGATGTGTATTGCAGTTCCGCTACCTGATAGGCACATGCACCTAAAAAAGGTGTATTAGTCAGCTCAGTTGAATTGTTTGTCTTAATGCAATGCACATGTTCTAACGTATCGCAATGGTGTGAATTGGCCTTAAAGTGTGAGGACCCATTGACAGGCATTGCGACAATGTGTGCTAACGCTTGTTCATTCCTGCAAAACACCTACACTTTCTGTGGTGCATTGTGGTACCAACGTACCACACACTACAGTGCACCACAAAGTACATACCATACATTGTGGTTGCTAAAAAAATGCTCATGTGCATTTTTTGACCAGTTGCGTTGGCAGGATATTCATAATGAATGACTGGAAGGAACCACAGTGAGCAGCAGGGGGAGGGAGAATTCAACTCACCCACCTGGAATAGTATCAAAGTGGCATTTCAATACATGGGCCACTGGAAAAGCATAGAGCTTCTAGTTTTATAGGAAGTTTTTATTTTGACTTTGTACTGACTGCGTCATTTCAACAACCAATGGGGTAGATTTACTAAAACTGGTGCAGCTGTGCATGGTAGCCAATCACCTTCTAACTTCAGCTTGTTCAATTAAGCTTGGACAATAAAGCCTGGAAACTGATCGGTTTCTATGCAGAGCTGCACCAGATTATGTACTCATCAGCTTTAGTAAATAACCCCCAACGTGTCTGCTGACAGCATTAAAATGACAACAAGAACTCATCAGTCACTAGAAGAATAGCTGATGCATGCCTTTATATACTATATTTGTGCTTCAAAATCTGGCCATAATCCTTCATGGGATAAGGACAAAGGAAAACAAGAAATGGAAATGCTTATGAATTTTATAGATAACATTGTTTAAAACACTTTCAAAGGAAGATGTTAGAACTGCCTGTCCTTGTGGCAATGTCAATTCCGCTGATGCCAAGGCAACTTTTTTTTTTTCAATAAACTCAGGAAATGAATTATGTCACATGCACACAGAAATACTTTCTACATGGAAAAGGGAATAAAACGTAAATCAGTTGCACAGGTGCTGTCAATGCTCTGCAAGCACATATAAACATTATAATGAAAAAAACCTTCCATCTATAAACATCTAAATTTTGAAGCAATACTTGGATGACTTACATCTCTTGAAAAAATTCAGACTGTGGCTAGACCAGTGGTCTCCAAACTGAGGCCCGGATGTGGCCCTTTGCTTGCCTTGATCCAGCCCTTGAGACATAATTCCTTCTTCTGTCAACCAACAATGCGGTACTACTCCCCCCCCCGCTGACACCAACCATAGGGCACTATTCCTCCAACTGATACCAAAGATGAGGCACTATTCCTCCCACTGATAGCAATGATGGGACACTATGCCTCCCACTGACACCAATGATGGGGCACTATTCCTCTCACTGATACCAATGATGGGACACTATTCCTCCCACTAACACCAACCATGGGGCACTATTCCTCCCACTGACACCATTGAAGGGACACGATTTTTCCCACTGACACCAACCATGGGCATTATTCCCCCCCCCCCCCCCCCCCCCACTGAAACCAGCCATAGGTATTATTCCTCCCACTGACACCAACCATGGGGGCACTATTCCTCCCACTGACACCAACCATGGGGCACTATTCCTCCCACTGACACTAACCATGGGCCACTAACCCTCCCACTGACACCAACCATGGGCCACTAATCCTCCCACTGACACCAACCATGGGCCACTAATCCTCCCACTGACACCAACCATGGGCCACTAATCCTCCCACTGACACCAACCATGGGCCACTAATCCTCCCACTGACACCAACCATGGGGCACTAATCCTCCCACTGACACCAACCATGGGGCACTAATCCTCCCACTGACAACAATGATGAGACACGATTCGTCCCACTAACAGCAACAATGGGGCACTATTCCTACCACTGGCACCAACGACAGGGCACTTATTTCTAATACAAAAAAAACAGGACATTGTTCACTCCCACCAACGCCAGGACATTTTTTTTACTCCCAGTGGCCACAGTTCGCCCTCCAAAGTCTGAAGAACAGTAAACTGGCCCTTTGTTTAGAAAGTTTGGAGACCCTTGGGCTAGACCAAAAACCGTGAGGAATTGTTAAAAATACTTCAGTTGAAGTGACTTCAAACTGTTTGTCAGATAATGCCATCGTAGAATGTATGAACTTCCATGTAAGAATAACAAGCAACATCTGCATCGCCCACCTTTAGCCAATCTGCCATGACAATAACTGATGGATCTGTGATTGTACTGAGCAATTCTTTAGTGGCCCTCTTCTTCTCCTCCCTATAATTTTTCTTTTGCACCTGAAAGGACAGAATAAACACATTACACTAATACAGATAACAGGAGGTTTTCATGTGGAAAACACTAATCAATTTCCAGTCTGCTTATTCTGACCTTGGGCAAACCTAGTTATCAAAGGCAAGGTTGGAAAAACTTGACAAAGTATAACTTGGAACAGTGGATGAATGCTTAACATATAACAGGGAAGAAATTCACAAGCACTCAGAAATACATTTTCAGAATTTATTCAAAACAAGTGCTATCACATGGTTTATTAAGACAGCCCTACAGACTTGCAGGTTCCCCTTCCTCAGAGTGACAAAGTGATCCAGTTAGGCATTTATTGGTTAGTCACTTTTGTAAAGCCCTCTCTAAAATCTATTAGTTCATCTAACACTACCCTCCCCACAGGTTTACAATGCTAGTGTACAAGGATGGCTATGTTGCGCCTTCATTTGTATAGTGGAGGAGTGATTATGGCCACCCTATGCAGCTGTTAGACACCATGGGGCCCCATACAGCCAACCTGATAGGACCCCCCCCCCCCCCCCCCCAAAAAAAAAAAAAACACCCCAGTTTACTATGCTTCAGTTAAGAATGAACAAAGTGAGTGATCGGTACTGATCACTCATTGTGTTCATTCAAGAAAGAATGAGGCTGCTAAATGTGACATTTACCAGACCCTTCCCCCACTCTCTATACCCTAAAGGATCCTATTGTGTGCTTGCTGGTGGGAAAGAGGGGAAGTCAGTAGCACTGCGGGGGGTGGGGACACACAGGAGGGCCTGGGCAGCAGGGGGGAAACATATGGTGCACAGTGAGGGTGATGCGTGTGGTGGTGGGGGGGGGGAATTAATGGAACTGATCCCCTGTATGGTTTTCTCTGTAGCAACTGAAAACCAGTGGGAGGGAAAGGAGAAGATGCCAGCTTTCAGCTGCTGCAGAGAGAGCCTTACAGGAGTTCAGTACCAGTAATTGTCTCCCCGCTGTGTTGATCACCCTCCCTGCCCACATCTGATTCACCCAGCTGCCTGGGCCCCGTACAGGACTGGACAGGAGTTGTGCTACTGGTTGAATGACTAGGTAAAAATAAAGGAAAAAGAAAGCTTAAAACAGCCACCTTTTAAAAACTAGTAAGCTGCAATATATGACAAACTAATTTTTCCACTTGTGGGGTTGCTTTTAATGACATTATGTACATAAAGAACAACCCTGAATACAGTGTAACAAGAATATTGGAATATTGTTACAATTTATTAATAACAATGCCTTGAATAAGGGTTCTCAGGCTTCAATTTATAACATGAGTTTCTGTCAGCACTCCTGCAGCACAGGCTGGGACCTATCAAAATGACATGTGGTGCTATTGATTTCTGACAGCTCTGGAGCCGTGGCAGAGGAGAAAGACCAGGGAGAACCAGGTTGCCCCTAGCACTTTGTTGAAGATTTTTGGGTGTCCCTCACACTCCCAAGATCCATTACTGGTTAAAGAGGATCTTCAGTCAGAAAAATTAGAAGTCAGCAGCTACAAATAATGTAGCCGTTGACTTTAAATTTAAAGACACTTTCCAGTTTAGAAATCCAGTGCTGTCCTCAGCCGGGCTGGTTCTTCGCTGGTCTTCAGGTCCACGGCGCAGCCATTTTGTATGTGGGAAGCCAGCTGTGACTCCCTGTAACTTCACAGTTGGCTTCCTACTGTACATGCGTGTGTCAGCTGCACTTTGTAAACAGGCTTGCAGCCTCCTAGGACCTGTGACGTGTCCCAGAAGGTTGCCGGCAGGATAGGGAGGGAGCAACTAGGGGAACCCAATGGAAGTGGGAGCAGGTACCTGTCCGAAATAGGTACCCACTTCCTTTAAAAAAAAAAAAAAAAAAACCTAGCAAAAATATTACAGGAGAGGGGGAGGATTACAAAAAGCAGAACTTCCGTTTTAGGATGAAGTTTTGCTTTAATATAATACAGGATTCAAATCACTGCAACATTTTATCATAGACAGTCATGTCAGACATGCTACAGTAAATGTACTACAAATGGTTTTGAAGTGTCCATCCGGCAGCAAGACACATTCCATAGCAGAGCCCCCCTGGTACAAGCCATTGACATTTAACATGGTCAGCAATGACTTACCTTGAGTGATTCCTTTTTTGTAAGTTTGCTTGAGGCAGATGCAATGTCTTTTTCAGACCCATTATATAATTTAGACTCTGACTGCAAAGGAACAACCAATTGTAGGGAACATTATAAATACAAATGTAGGTAAAAGATTAACATTCACCATTATTTTCTTGTGTTATATACTGTAACAAGAAGCTTATAGAAATACTGTAATGTAAAGTATATCCCTAGATCAGGGGTCTCCAAACTTTGTAAACAAAGTGCCAGTTTACGCTCCTTCAGACTTTAGGGTGGGGGGCACATTGTTGCCATTGGGAGTAGATAATGCCCCAGCCTGGGTGGTCAGGGTGGTAAAAAAAAATATGTGGCACCCCTGTGGTCAGTAGGAGGAGAAATAGTGCCCCATCATTGGTATTAGCAGGTGGAATAGTACCCCATCGTTGGTATCAGTGGGAGGAATATTGCCCCATCACTGGTATCAGATTAAGTTGTTATGTCCCATCATTGGTGTCAGAAAGAGGAACTGTTGGTGTCAGTGTGGGGAATAGTGCCTTGTATCAGTGGAAGGAATTGTGTCCCAAGGCAAGCAAAGGGCCACATCTGGCCACAGTTTGGAGACAACTGCACTAGATGATAAAACTTAGAAAAAAATATACGAGTATAACTATACATACACTTGGGAATACATAATTAGGAATCTGAGAAAACAAATAACACATTTCATAAAAAAAACAGATTTCCTCCATCTTTCTCTATGGTAGTTAGGAAAAATAAAAGTAAACATGCAGTTTTTCTTAATATTTCACATGCCATATTCTAAATCTACCACCACCAGAAGCTGTTATTTCAGTTTTGGATAGATGCATGTGCATTACCCATTGTCTAAATTCTTCTGCCAAGATCTCTGTCCCTGAGCTCTCAACACCACTCATTTACCACAATCACTGCTATGAGGCTACAATCCTCCCCAAATTCATTTTTAATTACGTAGTGCTGTGATGGAGTGGGAGAGGAGCTACATATTGATTACTAGAGAGATGTAGCTAGTACTGGAGAAAAGCAGCCACTGAATGATTCACCTAATCAGCACCCACCATTTACTTATTAAGTACTTTAGATGGCCTATCCTTCTAGGCTTCATTTGTGAATGTCTTGACACCTTCTACCATCTGTGAATCTCTTTTGTTGATCGTTCTTGATTGCAAAGCTAGAGAACAACTGTATGAGATTGAATCACTTTTATTAAGGCTGATCAATTCCCATGAGCCTCTGGAGCTCTACTACATACAGCAAAACTTAGAACAAATATCAAATATTTAACAATGCATCCTAATAACTGTCCATTGCTACATAACACAAACACATCTGGACTTCTGGGGGACATTTAGTGATAAAGGAAGTTGAACCAGATAATTGGCAAGGAAAGGATGTATGAGATTACCTTGCTCTTGGACATGGAGTGAGAAGAGTCATCTTTAATTTGCAAGGTTTCATCCTTGCCCCTGTCGAAACCTAGAACAGATTTAAGAGTACACTTTACTGATTTACACAAAAACAATATATCATTTTAAGGCTTCATTCATGCAGATGTACCGATTTGTATTTCCATGTGGAGTGTGATCCATACAGCTGGCCACCTGTACACAGAACACCTGTGCATCCCACATGGGTGAAGGCTGCTGTTCGCCCGGGTGTACAGATCGGTAAGTCTGTGTGAGTGTGGCCCAAAAGTTTTGAAACATAACAGAAATGCTGGATATTAAAAATAAACATAAGGGACAAGATAGCACTGTTATAAACACATATCTCTGTTTTCGTGTTAAGTTTTTCTTGTTAAAGGTACTTATTTTTAAAGCTTTAATAAGTTTATCTATACAAGATAAGGAACACATTTCAGACATTGCACATATCAATACAGTGATTTACAATTGCATTTTTTTTTCAGGTATTACATCTCAGTACATGTGCTTTGTAAACAGAATTATGTAATATAATGGTATTAATAAGCATCCAGAATAACAATGAAAACAGTGATGTACATTTAGTCACAAAGACTGACAACATGTGTCACAGTCTGCCTGTTTAAGGAAAGTAATATGTTCCATTGGAATATTTGGGGATCAGGCTCTTGGTCACATTCATGAGGTGTGGTATCAATTTCCTATATCTGTAAGAAGACATCATTAGGAGGTTGGTAAATTGCTTCCAGTAAGTTTCAATAAGTGGGAAAGAGTGCCAGATCACCAGCACATTGGGGAAAGCTGAGGATCTAGTGCAATGGGTCTATGTACCAATATGCTTCAAGCTGCACTCCGATATATTAAGGTTGATAGAAGAAGCAAGAGTTAAGAGACGGATTTTGAACCAATGACTGTCAGAAAAGGTGTGAGACATTTCCTTCTCCATGTGCTAGGCACAGGGAGGCACTATCAAGTGGGGTGGTCTCCTACATCATGGTGCCTGTATAGTTCCGACCATGATATTACTATAAGGAGCGCCAAGAGACTTGGATCCTACACAGAGGTAGGAAGTGCCACTAATTAATAATGCTGGGGCACCATACATTATACGGATACCAATGCTAAGTTACCATTCTTCCCATTGACAATAATGCTGAGGCACAGTTCCTCCTACTTAAATCAATGCTGGAGCACCATTCCTCCCAATGACACCAATGATAAGAGACCAATCTTCCCACTGATCGAAATACTGGGGCACCATTTCTCCCACTGACACCAATGTTGGGCCACCATTCCTCCCACTGACACCAATGCTGGGGCACCATTTAGAATACAGACCACTAGATACCAATACTGAGGTACAATTCCTCCCATTGGCCACCAATCCTGGAGCAATATTTCTCAGTGAAACCAATTCTGGGGCACCATTCTCGCTGACCACTGACTGACCTTTCCTCCCACTGACACCAATAATTGTGTACCATTCTTCCTGAAAACCACTGTGACAACAGTGATGAGGCAACAGTTCTCCCAATGACACCAATGATGGGACACTATTCCTGCCACTAACATCAATGATGGTGTACCATTTCTCGCACTAGCATCTATGCTAGGGCCCGATTCCTCTCACTGACACTAATGTTGAGGCTTCATGACATCACCATAAGGAGTGTCATAGGACTGGGACACTGCACAGAGGCAAATTCCACTGAAAACTAATACTGGACCACCACTCCTCACACTAACATTAAGGCTAGGGCACCATTTCTTCCACTGATACTAATGCTGAGCAACTGTTTCTCTCACTGATATCAATGTTGGACCACCATTCCTTCCACTGACACCAATAATGAGGCACAATTCCTTTAATTGACCCCAAACAAGGAGTACCATTCCTCCCACTGACCCCAATCATGGAGTACCACTCCTCCCACTGACCCCAATCATGGAGTACCACTCCTCCCACTGACCCCAATCATGGAGTACCACTCCTCCCACTGATCCCAATCATGGAGCACCACTCCTCCCACTGATCCCAATCATGGAGCACCACTCCTCCCACTGATCCCAATCATGGAGTACCACTCCTCCCACTGATCCCAATCATGGAGTACCACTCCTCCCACTGATCCCAATCATGGAGTACCACTCCTCCCACTGATCCCAATCATGGAGTACCACTCCTCCCACTAACCCAAGGGCATTAATTACAGTCTTTGATGCCAGGATGTTTATTACTCTCCCTTATCACTGCCATAGGGGAATGTTTTACTCTCACTTACCTCCAATTCTTTTTATTCCAATGGATGCTTGCCCAAAACAGTGTAACCGACAGTGACTTGCCTTTTGTTAAAAAATTTGAGGATCACTGGTTTTAAGCTTTATGCTACAATAAAAAGCCATTTGGAAAGGACGTGTAGTGGTCAGGTATTCTTTGAGCTTGCAAAGCTATTGGTGGGTATATGGGATCATAGTCTCTGAATGGAAAGAATGGCCAAAAGCAATTACATACAAGCATGGCTTATTCACTGATTGGGAATCTACATAAAATACTTCCTCTTGTCCCTTACCCATTCAAATGACCCAGAGAGTGTGAGGGGGCTGGAAGACACTATGAGTTGCAAAGTGTCACTGAATAGTTGGCAGTTTCAAAGGTGAATTTGATTTACACCTAGAATGCAGCTATAAACCATACATTGCATTATACATCTTTCAAGTAACATGGTAAATGAGTACTTCAAAAGGTGTGTGTTCTTTGTGTTGTACTGGCTCTAAAAAATTTTCAGTAACTTCTGTGCAAACAAAGGCTACTTTCAGCATCTGTAGGTCTAAAGATACACAATGGCTAAATGGTTAGCACTTCCGCCTGGCAGTACTAGGGTTGCTGGTTCGAATCCCAACCCCAGCACCACCTGCCTGGAGTTTGCATGTTCTCCCTGCGACTGCATGGGTTTCCTGTGGGTACTCCGGTTTCCTCCCACACTCCACAGACATGCTGGTAGGTTAATTGGCTCCTGTCTAAATTGGCCCTAGTATGCATATGTATGAATGTGAGAGTTAGGGACTTTAGATTGTACGATTGTACACTGATGTGAATGTACAATATATATGTAAAGCGCTGCGTAAAATTGACAGTGCTATATAAATACCTGAAATAAATAATAAATAAAGATGAACACAGACAGCTAAAGCACTGGTACATTTATGCTACTTCTTGGGTGGTAAATCTAGAGTTTCTTCTCCAAACTAATATCTGTGTCTCATGATAAGTAACCTGAGAATATGGCCATAGATTTTCTATAAAAGTTAGGCATCCTTGCAATCATCGATCACGTACACGTACCAGCGGATAGTGAAGTGTCAGAAGCTTCAATTAACATTGTGGGAACAAAAACAGCTATTCTGAGGAAAATCACCACTCAGAACACAGCAAAATAAAGCAATAATTTGTACATGATTGTTTAACAACCGCAGAACAAACATTATTCTACAATTACAAGCTTAAAATTTGCATTCCAATTTGTAATTTTTCCACAGACTGAACATTGCTATGCAAAACTCAAAGTACAAACAAAACTCCCAAATCAGATATAAAAGGTCTTTTCAATTAAATGACTAGGTAAGTTAAATATTTTTTATTATTATATATATATATATTATATATATATATATATATATATCTGGAATTATTCAAATGAATGTTAACATATTCTGCGGCCCACATTTGGTGGGATGGAATAATTTTTCAGAGAACACATCCTAGGGTTAGTACAGCAACATAAAACATGTTATAATAAAGTCTTTCTAATCCTTGGAAATTCAAACGGAGCATGTGATCAAATGATGTATATGCAAAGGCAACCCTTGAATTATATGTCAAACTGATCGATAAATCCAGAAATAAAGACAGCTCAAATGATTGAATATGCAAATCTTGACTTTTCTGCAAGTCAAGCTTATAGCTGCCCAGCACCCCTGCATATAGCTTATGCTGCTAGCCTTAGTGAATAGATAGGAAAGGACATTATATTCACTGGTTTTAAACTTTTTCATTTATTTACATTTCTTCAGTTGCTTCCCGGTATCTGGCCTAGGCCAAATTGATGTCACATCGCAGGAATTTTCATGAGCGTTTTTGTTTTCGGTCATCTAGAAGAGGGGTTTTCTCAGCTAAACACACCCTCCCACCTGCAAGCCTGGCCTAAGGGCATATGGATTGCAGGAAGCAAAGCTATATGAATCATCTGCCCTTACTCAGGATGGCTGTAACTAGAAATACTAGGGGGCTTTTCCATCCTTTCTGGCCCAGCTGCGCACATATGGTGCGCTAATTTCAAGATGCACTACACTAAATCCGAGGCAATGGAAGACATTTCTGGGGAACACCCCTTGGACCGTTAAATACATTCAAAAGGGGATGGGGAGGGAGGGGGGGTCATAAATGATGCTATATGTTCAGTAAAGCACCACAGAATATGTATGCCCAACCACTGAAATAATGTAATGACCACTGGATTTTATGGTCGTATAACAGCACCAGAATCCACGAGCAGATGGTGCTGCAGAAAAGATATGGAATCACATCTCTGGTTCATGATAAAAATATGGGAACTGAAGGATGTGTAAATCACGTTAGGTTTCTTTTTTTTTTTTTTCTTTTTAAGAATTTTAGCGGATAAAAAATGAATGGCCATGTGAACTTTTTACTAAAGCAATATGCCCAACAAAGCACAGTGAGTAAGGATACGCTTTTATAAAAATGGAGTGCATGCTGCCTTGGACATTCTAAACTGGACATCCCAGGAATGCTTCAAGTCAATGTGCTTACTTTATTGTGAACTGCAGACAATGCCCAACTGTGTGATCTAAAAACGCTGGAGAAAAACTCAAATCTTTTACACTCCCTGACATTTACAAAGGGCACTTGGACAAGGCTGTTTATTGAGACACTCCTCCATTTACCAACATATTTCAGTCTACGCTGTGTGCCAGTATGTTAGACTAGCTGAGCACAATAAATGCTAGTAAATCCATTGGACAGCTTCCAAGTAC